CTCATAAATGCTGTTGCTGAGGTGCTCAATGATTCCATCAAAAAAGAGATTACCAACACCAAGTTTGTCGCAGTTATGGTGGATGAGACCACCGATTGCAGCAACTCTGCACAGCTGTCATTTGTACTCCGGTATGTTACTGACATCGGAGTAAAAGAAAGGTTTTTAAAGTTTGAGGATGTCATAGGGAAAAAACGAGCTCACGATCTAGCAGCTTCAGTACTTGAAGTGTTGGGCTGCTACGATTGCAAAACAAAGTTAGTGGCACAGTGTTATGACGGAGCCGCTGTAATGGCATCTGGACTTAATGGGGTACAGGCGCGCGTAAAAGAAGACATTCCTCAGGCTCTTTTTGTGCACTGTTATGCACACACGTTAAATCTTGTGATGTTTCAGGGAGCATCAAAAATTAAGGATTGCAAGATTTTTTTTTGCGAATCTGGGAGGATTGTCTGCATTTTTTACACGTTCTCCCAAGCGCACAAAACTACTGGATGAGTTCTGCGAGAGGCGGCTGCCTCAGGTGAGATGGAACTTTAACTCCAGGTGGGTGGGCACGGTCCATGACAAAAGAGCTGAGCTGGTCATGCTTTTCCAGCACATCCTCGATCATGCTGAGGATTTTGACCGTGAAACTGTACATTGTGCATCAGGACACTTGCTTTGACTTCTGTTTTTTTCTTTTTTCTTTCATCGACATTTTTTACTTTGCTGATGTGCTCTTCGGAATTCTGCAAAATAAGAGCTTAGATGTGCAATTCAGTCTGTCCAGAATTGCAGATGTTTGCCTGATTCTTGAAGATGAGCGTGGAAAATTTGATGCCATCTATGAGAGGACAGCGGAGGCCGCGGGACAGCCGAGCGCAGGCAGAGGCCGAACAGACGTGCGCGCGCACTACAGAGAGCTACATACAGCACTGATCGACAGCATCATCACACAAATCAACAATCGATTTGAGGATCACAAGCGACTACTGTTTGTTGCATTGCTGGTTGCACAGCTGTTTGCAAAGTTCAAGCAGACATTTCCTGAAGCAGAGCTCAGGAGCCTGGATGAGAGCTACGGCGCACAGTTTGACCTGGGCAGGCTCAGAGCTGAGCTCAAAGTGATGTACAGCATGACAAACTTTCAGGGAAAGAGTCCAAGTGACCTACTGACATTTCTGAGGAGCACGGGGCTTGCAGTCAGCAGGTCACAGCTGTATGCCCTCACCTGCTTGATCGTGACCATTCCAGTGTCCACCGCATCAGTTGAGCGATCTTTCTCAGCTCTCAAGCGCATCAAAACGTATTCACGGAATACAACCGGACAAACACGACTCTCTTTACTGGCATCTATTGCCATAGAGAAGGAGCTGCTCATTCATCTTAAGCAGGAAGCACAACTGCATGATGAGGTCATTGAACGTTTCATCAGAAAGGATCGGAGGATGGACTTCATTTATAAGTAGGCCTAATGGGTGAGTGTCTCACTGTATAGGAGAGATACAGCTATTGTGGTATTTTATACAGAATTTTTGTTAGTTTTAACTGATTGGTATTGCTGGAGGTGGTGATGCTGTGTTGATGTTCCTGTGTTGAAGAAATATTCCTTGTGTGTGTGAATGAGTACAGGAATGAGTAAAGGAACGAGCAGGAATGAGTAAAGAGTTTTGACTTTGAACACAAGCCCTTTGATGACAAATGTAATTGACGTTTTAAAATAATTAATTGTTGAAAAATGACAACTGAATAAAAATGACAATTCAATAAATGTTTTGTGGATAAAACGGTGTTTGTTTTGCTTAATTGATTAATGTCACTTAAAAGGTTATTAAACAGTTTTTACTCCTATTTTATAATTATATGGTGAGTGTTTGATCAAACATAGCCTATATATATATATATATACAGTGTAACGCGTTACAAAAGTGATACATTACAGTAACATATTACTTTTTGCTGTAACGCAGTAGTGTAAGGCATTACAAATCAATTTTCAGTAATATTTTATTCGTTACATGTTCAGTAAGGCTTGCGTTACAACAGACTTTTAGTTTTAATTGTAAAACAAACAAAAAAACATAACGAGACATAACGAATGAAAAATGCAAGTAGCCTACCGGTTCGTGGTCAGTCAATAGCCGCGTGTGGTGTCCAAATTTGTAAATATTAAGACTAAATGGCAGCGTCTGATATATTTGTATAGCGATTTTTTTTTTTTACAGGAGTGCCATGAAGCATGATTTCGGCCTCTGTGCGCGTGCTGGCCAGTGGAAAAGCGGCTAATGGGTGAAGATGGCATGAAGAAGACTATACATTCGCGAGATGGACGTATGCGCATTAGGCTATTCGTTCTGTGTTTTCTTTCTAAACAGTTAGGCTATGTTTAGGTGGTATTTTTCATGTTTTCATCACGCAATCATGTTTTTGATGCGGTGGTGACGCGTTCATGTAACATGTAAGGTTGGCGGCGGCGCTGCCGATAAAGCACCCAAAAGCTGTCACAAAGAACCTGCAAAAGCAATGATTATGAATATGTCAAATATAGCAAGGAGACATTTTTAATTGTTTATTAATAAAGATGAAGTTGACTATGCTGACTCGCGATCTTCGCAGTAGGCTAGTGAGTGCGTCAGAGAGAAATGCACATTTCATTTTTAATAAGCAGAGAGCAGTCTATTTTCTTTCGTTTTGAATTGTTCTGTTTACAAGTAGACATTTCAATATAGATATGGTCTGTGGAGTAGGCTATACGCTGAGTTTCGGTAGGCTATAGGCTATTTATGAGACGCGCTCCAGTTCACACGCCGGCGCCTCTGTGTTGTGATTAGTGACTATCTATAATTGTCTGCTTGTACTTCTTATTTATTAAATCCAGGCAATTGGTTGATGAAACATTGATTAAAATTAAGAGAAAATTAATACAAAATGAAATTCACTTTAAAGAAAGGCTTTGTCTTCTGTTTGAGGTCTCTGTGAAAGTTTTAAAGCAGTCTTTCAGTGCCGCTTCAGAGCGGTCGCGTCCGAGAACTGACACCTTTGTAACATTGTTTTTTCCTCATAAAAAGCGTTATTTCTCCCGACACAAACTTCGAGACCACTACGCCTTACTCGGTCAGTCTCGCAGGCACTCATTCCAGTTCCACAGTACAAAAATAACTATGGTCAGAAATCGTTTTTCTATACTTACACTAAAATTTGGAATGACATTCCTTATCAAATTCGAACATTATCGTCCTTCGCATATTTCAAAAAGTCATACAAACAGTTTCTTCTGACTAGTCAAACTTGTACACATTGATTGCTCATGTACTGTTTTTAGTCTTGTTTTTCCGTATTTTATGTTTTGTTTATATCTATCTAGTCAATAACAATGTCTTGTATACATGTGCTGAAATTCTGTTTATTGTTTTATGTTGCTGCAGAACAGGAACCTGCTGTAAACCAGTTTTTAAACTGAGCCAGGCCCGTTTTACTGTAACTATACTGTTGCTGTTGAATTTTCCTGTATAATAAATTAAATGAAATGAAATGCGAAAACGAAAAATAAAATAAAATTAATATTTTATGTTCTCTGGAGAGCCAACTATTCCTCATCCGATTTGCTGAAACATTTTGCAAAAACATTTGCTGTAAAATTATAAAAATAACATTACTTTAGTTTGTATGTAATTTAAATGAAAGTACAAAATTAGTGTGACTTAGTGTCAGGAGACATTTTTATCTTTAAAATAATAATTTAATTCGTTTAATTTCATTTAACTGATCCACTATAAGCCCTAAAAAAAGTCGCGGTGGTGATGAAATGGATGAGCAAGAAATAGACAAACGATCTCTTTTCTGATATCTTCATGTTTTCTTGTAAATGGTCTGAAGAGCGAATTTTATCCTCCACAAGGGCAAGATATTTAGGCTATGCTTGATTTTGCGCTGCCAGAGAAAGCGATACTAAAATCACGCCCGTGTGTGAAACGTGCTTTACAAATAAACTTGTTACTGAAGGCCCTGACTGAAACCCCACGGTACGCTACTGGTTAAAGTCCCACTCCGATCATATTTTGAGCTATTTTTAAACATTGCCAGTGGTCTTTAAATTATGATTATGCCATTTTTAGCCAGAATCACAAAACCTGTGCCGTTTTCTGGGACTTCGCTTCAGCAGAGCGGCAGTAGCTCATTAGCAATTCGCCTCTGCGTTGTGGGCGGAGCTGTTGGCACGGAGACGACCCTCCCCCTGCCCGTTGCTGAGAGCTCTGTCTCTCCCGCTAGCTTACATCCCCAATACCGGTGGGGCAACAGTATTATATACACGTTAATTATTATTATCCGAAGTTAATCAAAGTTATCACCGATCACTATTTCACTCCAAGACGTCGCGTGTGGAGACGCCCAGTGGAGTTACTACGTCACAACTCCAGTCGATTTTAGCCAGCATTTTATCGTCTGCTACTGATTCACAGCCATTGGAATGTAGAAATACTCAGAAATACAACTTTGAGCTGATTTTTCTCAAGATATGTCCTCTAACATCAGAAAAATGCCACAAGAACATGTTAACACCTAGAAAAACATTATTTTCATCGGAGTGGGTCTTTAAAGGTTCTCTAAGCGATCCTGGGTGACGTCACTTCTTGTTGACGTTCGAACTATAGGCCTTTATCGCATCACAATAGAACGCCCTAAGTAGCCGTCAAAAATAGCTGAAGCAGTGTACTGCGTCTTCCGGTTATTGCGTTCGAAATGGCTGCCTGTAATCGCTGGACAACCTCGCTCTCGCATCTCCCAAAAGTTGGCCAAGACGATGTGGTGCGACTCGTGAATGAACACTCAAAGGTAAAATCATCCAAGTTGGAGAAAGGATACAAGTTCTTCTATGAGAATTTTGTCTTCAATTATAGAGGTAAGTAGCTTGAATTCTGTTCAGTTGGCGAGTTATCTGGTAACAAGTAACCACCGGAAGTGCGAGTACACTGCTTGGCGATTTCGAACGTTCCAAACCAGGAAATGCAATAAAGGCCTATTGTCAAACAAAACGGAGGCTAGCTAGACCCTCCCTCCTCCGCATCTCGTCTCCTCCCCCTCCCTTCCGTGTTTCCTGAAACAGTTGTGAACTGTAATACTCTATAAATGAACATTCAAATTCATAACAAACAGTGAATGATAACAATCATTCACATAAATTGTCGCCCTACCTACTATTAATTTGATTGATCATTTACAATACATATTGATCGCTAGCTGCTACAAACATATGTTGTATTCACCAAAGTTAACGCTGACAGCATAGTTCTAGCTAATTATATCCTTGTGTGGGTTTGGCGAACATAAGCGTCAATTTAGAACAAAAAAAAAAGAATTTAACGATACCCACCTGTCCAGCAAAAACAAGGTCGGACTGGAAGCCCTTCTGCCGGCGGAGTTCTCGCCATCTTTCGAATGCTTTACCGATGTAAATTCGGTACTTCGCGCGTACTTTTTCCTTTTCCCTCTTCTTTGTAAGTTGATCATCGGAACGTCGTCCATTTGGTCGTTTGTCGGCCATTATTCAAACTTCCCTCTTGATGCTTCTCTCTCCTTCACACACCCCCTTCATGTGCACGCGCACTAACACCCCAGACCCACCCTCAAATACTTCTTGCCAGTGATTGGCTGGAACACTATTTGTTATGTTTCGTGGAGCGGGTCGCCGCAGTGTGTTTTTGTTGCCGTTTGTGGAGCCATGTGGTGTCTACAGAGACCACGTTTTTTTACAGTGTGTTCAGGGGACAGGCAGCTAGCGGATAGTGAGGAGACGTTTGCTGTATGTGACAAAAACTGTTTTGGACTAAAAAACGCGTGACATCGCTTAGAGCACCTTTAAAATAACCAGAGATACTTGAGGACTGTGATAGGTGGTTAGGACTGTTTTTAACAGGATAGTCACCTTTATTTGACAGTTATGAGACAGGAAATCATGGGAGAGAGAGAGAGGATGTGACATGCGGCAAAGGACCGGGATTCGAACCATGGTCGGCTGCGTACATATACGCATTAAACTTTGCTATGCCATGGCCACCCCACACTATAGCTTTGTGTCCCATCTTGGCCACCCCCCAAAAAATGTCCTGGATACGCCACTGGTGAGTGTATATAATAACATATGTCCCCTACCTCACCCACACACACACACACACAAACAATTAATCACAAATGATGCAAAAATATGTTGAAATATTTATTAGTAAATTGTAGGTTTTTCCTGTGCACACGGGCATGACAAAAATGGCAACATTCTTTCAAATTAAAATGCTTTTCTTTAAACTCATGTACACTTAATTTTGATACTTTATTTTCCATCTTTACAAACTGTGAATTTAGTATTTTATCTAATATACGATAAGGATATGAAATATGGCTACTGCATGACAGAAATTACATTACTATCACAGAACATATAATGGATGTATTATGACACCTAGTGCATTTGTAGAGGAGTACACTGGAGTACTGAAAAAATGTTACTGACATACTTAAAAAAAATTATGGTAACAATGTTATACATAATATTTTTGAGTAGTTAAGGCTCGATTTCTTTCATGGAATCTACCTAAATACATGTAAAATAAAATACCCTAAATTATTTAGTCTATGACGCAATGAATTTAATATTTTTAGTGAAATATGCTTTTTGATTTTAAGTTGATGTTCTAAAGTGTGTGAATTAGAGTGAATGGAAAAGTTCCTGCTCCTGTTTATATTTGACTGAGTTATATTGTATTATTAAAAGTCTATTTACTGCTGTCACAGCACAGAATCAAACTTGTTACTGCACAGACATTGCAGCAAAGTTTTTACTTTATGATCAAGGGAACATGTTTCAGTGTCATTACATGCAGTTATTCACAACCATAAGCCCTACTCTTCTGCACAATGGTAACGATCAAAACTAAAAACAAAATAGAAACTCTTTCAAATGTCAAACATAACTTCCTCTCCATTTCAAGACATGTGCAAAGCATGCTGGGAACTAACAATGGTGTCTCTAAATAAAACCGCATAATTGAACTAATTCTCTTAAAATAAATAAGGAGCCATTTTTCCTTAATTTTATCAGCACAATCGGTTCCTCAATTCAAGCCTCAAAATTGTGTTTCCTTAAAATAATTAGGAAAATGTCTCTTGATTTTATTAGTGAATTGTTCTCAATATTTTCTATAGAACACTGAACCACAATTTTCTTAATGAAATATACACAATATTTTTAATAAAGACCCATGATTCATTTTTACAGTGATATGTCAGACATTTAGACATGCTGCTCAAGTGAATCTCTGACAAATGTTCTGATGCCATGAACAATCTTTATTTTTTTTATATATAACAAATGCAAAGAATAATTTCCTTTAAACCTTAGTGTGTGCGAAGCAATAGCACAATTTGCATAAAGAGTAATTGTTTCAAATGAAAAAAACAGGTATTATTTCTATTACAAGTCCATTATTAAACATGTTTTGCACTGACATACATTCAAACAGGGTAGGCCTATGTATTTTAATAAACATTATTTTCACTGTCACAAATAAAACCATTTCCTGAGTGTCAATGTTCACATTTGATTTTTGTTTCATAAAACAAAAACAAAAAAAAACTTCTTTGCCTCACACTGACCATGTCGCTATCTCACTCTCTTACTTGTACTTTAGTTTCAACCCTCACCTTGAATTAATTTAGACTAGCTGATCGTTTAATTGATATACAGCGACACCTAGTGGCTATTATCCAAAACACAACAAATCAAACACCATTTGTCATTAGAGTCTACATATAAGATTATTTTTGTTATAGCATTATCTTCTCAGCTAATTTCATGGATATTCTCCTCAACAGAAGAAGATACGACTTTGCCATCCACGATCTCCTCCACAATGACCTTCACTCTGCGCTGGAGGTGAGGGTTATGCTCTGTAAGGGTTCAAAAGACACATTTATTACTAGTTCCATTCATTTCTGCTCCATGTTGACTGAATGAAGGGACCAACATAAATAGTGGGGCCAACATAAATACCAACATTAATTTCACTCACCTTCCTCTTCCTTTATCTCCATTGTTTTGGTCACTGTTTCTGTCTCTGTCATGGAGGTTTTAGTCATGGAAGACTCAGACGTGCTTATGACGGTCCTACAGAACACAACGATACACCATGGGTCTCATAGCTGATACAGAACAACTGAACTGACATTCACAGCAAGGCACATATCTGAACAGAGCAAATTTAAATAAATCTGTCCTACGTACGTTTGAGCTTCTCCTCCCAGCAGCCTCCTGTATTCAGCGATCTCCATCTCCAGCCTCATCTTGATGTCCAGCAGCAGATTGTACTCGGAAGCCTGTTGTCGGATGTTGGCATTGAGTCTCTGTAGCTCGTCCTGCAGGTGGTCTATTTGCAACTGCAGCTGACTCAGCTGGACAGTATAGCGTACGCCCACATCAGCCAAACTCTGCTCCAGGTTTTGTTTCTGGAGAAAATGATTGAACATCGCATGGGGAGATTACTCAAGGGGAAAGGGCCTATATTATAAACCATGTTAAGTGGTTGAAATGTTTTTTTAAAGCTACTTTTATTGATTAGTATATTGAGAGAGAGGGGACAGGAAATGATTCAGAGTAACAGCACAATTGTGATTGTCAAAATGCTTTTATGTCGTTCAACAAACAAGAAATGAACACCGAGCAACTAACATTTTAGACACAATATTGCCACAGCAGAATGATCAATGAAGCAACACACGACAATGAATTTACCTACTGTTTTTGAACAGATCGATTGAATGAATCAATAAATACAGTGGCTGTGTTTGAAATTGCATATTGTCACTACTTTTGCTTTGAAACTTACTTTGCAACCGTTTAAAGTTATTCTATAATATGAAAATGAGCATTATGAATGAAACGCTGTCACAGTGTCACTGTCACTTGATCTACTGTCCCAGCATCAGTTATGTCGCCTCATGAGATAAAGTATTCATCAGAAGCCCACTTCCAAATCTTGCAGAAGTAATTCATCCAGGTACTTTTCGCCTACTGTTTTATGAATACTGAATTCAGAGTTCAGACATACTACTTGTCTCACATACTGTTTTCTACCTATGTTGTAGGGAAGTCCTAAGTAGGCAGATCAATGCTACGGTTTGGTGGATTTTGGACTGAACAGGTTTGTTGATAAAAACTTTTAAATTCAACTATTTTTAGATCTGTCAACACACTGGTGAAGTTCAGGCTAGTATAACCTTATAATTTTGACCAAACATTTCAAATTTCACTTTTACATTCTATGAAGTTTGTCCACCCTGTAACATGACATTTTTGCAATGGTTACAACGGTGAATGTGGACGTTTTTGGGTGGACGTTTAAGCCCATTATTAGCTAGAAAGGAACAACATGCTAGCAGAAGATTTACATTTAGGAAGAATTTTAATAGATATAAAATATATTTGAAACACAAACAAACATTGTCATCCAGTATAAATAGACACGTATGGGTATGTTTTTTTTTTTTTACACTATTAGATAAGTCTTCTAAAAAACGAGGAAAATAGAGAAAAGTTTATGACTGATTCTTACTTTGTTCTTGAAGTTGCTTTACCTCCAAGGAAATGCCAGTCATGGGATTTGGGGCATAAGCTAAAGAATTTAAAGGCCAAATAGCACCAATGTAACAGGGTGAACTGAAGTTTGAGGGACATAAACTCATTTTATGGATTTACAGATAAAAAAAATATGTAATCAATTTTGTGTTTATATTTTATGTCAACGAGAATACTAAACACTAAAAATGGCACACTTAGTTATTTCTATTTATGTAACCTTTATTTCAAAGTGAAGTTGAGAAAACATGAAACATGGGACAAGTTTTTATTATTATTACTAATCATTATGAATTTGTGTTAATTGGGGTACATGATCATCTATGCATGAAAACCATGTGGTAGGAAAGTTGATTAACATTTTATGTAAAATATGCAGTATTGTTTAATGGGGACATAAAATTCTACAAACTATAGGATTGAACAAGGCATGTCCAGACACAGGGAGTCACTTGTTTCTTTCCGGAATTAATCAGTGTTTTTGTAATCATTTAAATGATTCAATGACTCATTCATAAAATGGTCAATGAAATGTCTGGATTTCGCTCACAAAATTAGGTGCAGTCACAATTTGGGCAAAATTTTATGGCTAGAAAAAGTCAAGTGTCTATTGTTAGTAGTGTAGCAATGTATAAAGCAAAGCTCACACAGAATTTGCTTTTTACGCTTTCCAGACAGAAATGCAGCAAAAAAGTGCTGTCAGCTGAAACCGGGAACACTTCCCACAAATCCTGATGTACTTGTTACATCATAAGAAGGATGGCGTCTACGCTAATATTAGTCACTCTGTCTTTCACGAGGTTTACCGCAGTCCGCCGGATCCAGGCCGTATCCGGATCTGATGAAGGACCTGCGCCCGGACACGACGACAACGCAGTCCTGAAGTGTCAACTCTCTCCCCTGTGAAGGCCTCCTTCCCTTCCCTTTACCTCTGTACAGATAAAACGTTGTCGGGATAATTCCGGTTCACGTGGCTACGCGGAAGCGATAAAACATTCTGTATTAAATTTTTATACATTTTTCAAGGCTTGTACCTTGGAACCTATTTCATGGTTTGCGTTCTCGAGCCTCCATGCACTGTTGTTGTGCAAATGAGCTACAAATGAACTAATGATCTTTGTGACGGAAGTGAATCAATCAAAACTAACTTTAGCTGGAAAATAACTTTATTCTAGAGCTGCTGTAAAGCCAAAACAATCTCTGTTACTTTAATTTCATATGATCACTGTAAAGCTGCTTTGAAACAATCTATATTGTTAAAAGCGCTATATAAATGAAGGTGACTTGACTTGACATAGGCCTACTGTTGTTTGGTGACAACATCCTTTCATTTTAATAGAAATCTACGCGATCGGGAATTTTGTGTTAGGGCAAAAGACATGCAGATTTTGCATCTGGTTCACTTAGTCAATTCGCTGAGTTGACCATCAGAAAGCTGTTTGATTTGACACGGACAAGTGGAGTGATACAAATAGTGAGAAGTGCACAGTGCTGCTGGACTGTTATATATCAGGGCTTGGAACGCTGAACGCTGCTCAGCCAATCACATTCGAAGACCAGAACTAACTGTTGTATCATGAAAAATAAGCAGAGATCTTCTGCCAGAGAAAGGGAGATAGTCCTCACTGCAGAACATGAAATCCAGGGGGAGGAGTTGGATCCAGATCCAACTCCTCCCACCTTACATATACCTAAACTACCCATCTCCACCCCCTGATCCCTAACCCCACCCCTAATCCTACCCATCTCCATCCCTTGGATCTGGATCCAACTCCGCCCCCTGGATCTCGTGTACTGCAATGAGGTGCTACTGGAGAAAAGTACGGCTTAAGAAAGAGCAAGAGCAAGATTATACCATTGTGAGAGCCCCCTGTACTTCTATCTCCAGGCTCTGGAATGTTCTCTTCACATCAGTGAGCTCAGTCTGAGATGTCTTGACTTCAGTATAGCTGGTGGTCACCTGAGTCTGCAACCCCTCTGCCTAAATATTGAAACCAAGAAATTAATGAGGAATACATGACACAAAAAAAAAAGAAAATAGGTAGTGGTCAGTTGGACTCTAAAATTGCCTACTGTGTGTGGCTACATTTCAGTTCATCACTATTGTATTACTGCAGACTGAACTGATGACCCAAGGCGAACTCATGAGACAATGTAACTAATTTACATTAGAATTGATGGCCAATTTGAATGAATTTATACAATTCGAGTCATATGAAAATGTATGATCTGCATAAATATTAGCATAAAGGTCCACCTGTAACCCCACTCCTAACCCTCAAGACGGGTGTAAGCAGATTGTACGAAAACATTTGAATGCAAGCATATAAAAACATACAAATTTGGACTAATTTGCAAATAGGTTTGAATTGCTATGAGAGTGTGTTGGATAATCTTAGGACATCTAATAGACTGAATTAAAATACCTTTGCCTTAGCAGTTCCTGCCCATACAATTTACTAAGCCAGACAAAAACAAAATATGTCAACAGATTTGACAGCTGAAAGACTTTAACGATTACTTGAATATCGCAATCACATTCCTACTGACAATACAATCAATTGTTCTAAAGCATATCAGACAGCTGGCATCTCAATCATTATTTGAGGATTTATTTATTTTTATTTTTAAAGCAACGAGACAATGAATTACATTGCATGTTAAAATCTTTTAATAAAGTTCACCCGCCTCTGCTAGGGCATGTTGTTTTCTTGCAGAGGAAGACTTGTGTTACTGGCTCACCTTGCTCTGGAACCATCTTTCAGCCTCCCTGCGATTTTTCTCAATAAGCATCTCATACTGAGCTCTCATCTCCTGCAACTCCTTATCAAGATCTGGCTGAGCTGCACAGTCCATCTCCACGTTCACAGAGCCGCTTTGCCTCTCTCGCAACAAATGAAGATCCTGTGGAGAAAGAAGAGGAGGGAAAGAGCAGTTAGTCTTTCAAAAATCCCTTGTGAAATAATTCAAGACCAAATGATTGCAGTGAAATGGTAAGCTGACCTCCTCGTGGCTCTTCTTCATGTACAGCAACTCCTCTTTCAGTCCAGTTAGCTGGTTATCCAGGTCTCCAATGGACAGCTTCATCTCTCCCAGAATCCCTCGCAGTCGAGCCGAATCTGCTTCCACAACTGAACGCAAGTTCAGTTCAGTCTCATACCTGCCACAGCCAAGGAGTAATCATATGCTAGTTTAAGATCATATCCCAGACCGCAACATAGTGTCGGCCCAGATCCGGCCCACATCTGGTACATGTGGATTCGGTTTCACTTTATTTAGTTGGTCCCTTTAACAAAATCTGTTGACTATAAGTAACGTTGCACGTACATGTTTACTAACTCTGATTAGAGTGTTAGTAGAGTATTAGTAGACTGGTAGGGTTAGCGTTACAGTAAGGCAAGGCAAGTTTATTTATATAGCACATTTCATACACAATGGTAATTCAAAGTGCTTTACATAGGAGAAAATAAAATAATCAAAACAAATAAGAATAATTAAAACAGTTTAGAATAAAAAAATAAAATAAAGTACAGTAAAAACAAGGGTAAGTTGAAATGAATTTGTAAAGTTACTTATAGTCTGTAGAATGTCTGTCGGAGGGCCATCACAATAAAGAGTTAGGAGATATTAAGCAGACAGTCGACTAATACTCTAATGAGAGTTAGTTGACATAGTTGCAAAGTTACTAATAGCTACAACGCAGAATGTTCAAAAAAGGGAACATCAAAATAAAGTGTTACCGTGGATTCCACACGTTCCAGATGTGGGCCGGATCTGGGCCGATACTATGCTGCTGTCTGGGATGCTATTTCAACCAACAGTAAACATTCAATACTAAATGCAAGATTGCTTTACACATCACATACTTCAAGTGGAAATCTTCAGTGGCGAGCTTGGTGTTGCCCAGCTTCAGACGGAGCTTTGCGTTCTCCATAAAACGACTGTGAATCTTTCAAGGACAAATGAGAATGAGTGGTTAATCTAGGGATGTTAGTCTTTCAATGAGCATAATAACTAACTATCTGGATGAATTAAAAAAGAGAAAAAATGACTTTAGCTGAAATGAAACTAGATTTTAGGTTTTGTTAACAGCTAGAAACTGATGTTAAACAGCTCTGAACAGGACTGCCCTGTTGTATTTGTGATATTTGAAACACAAAACATGGCATAATGGCATAAGGTGAGGCAGGGATCATCTCATGCCATTTTGGTTATTTCAGGGGTGTGATCTTTCTGATGAGTGACAGCAGCTCTACCTGTATGCTGAGCTCAGAAATGGTTGTCAAATAACCACTCATGTTTTTGCTCTGCATCGGGCTCTTGTTGTCATAAAACTCCTTAATTTGCAGCTCGAGTTTCTTGTTGGCCTGCTCCAAAGAGCGCACCTAAAACACAAAACGTGCACAATAATTAAAGACAAAGATAATTAGACAAAGTCCAAAACACAAAGCTTTCGCTCAAGGTAGAATGTCGCAGTTTTTAATGTTCAATCTTGCATCTTTCGATTTGAGGAATTATTTAGAATTGATTTAGAATTAGAGAATTAAAGTTTTATCTTAAATAGGCCTAAATATGTAGAGTGAAACCATTATTACTGATTATATCCTCATGGGACGCAGGAATAGACACTGTAGTGGACATTATATTTTAGTGAATTTCTCTGACAGTATACATGTCCTGTAAAGAGGACATCCAGGGCTTTTCAGAGATACCAAATGTGTGGTGGTTTCACAACATTAATTTAGTGATCGAATTCAGCACTCTTATATGATACTATTTTGTAATTATCATTTAAATTTGAGTTATTTTCTAACTGTTTGTCATAAATCAACATCTCAGGGTTTCTAATCAAAATATGTCTTTCTGTCACAAAACAGGGCATTGATTTCATACATGTCCGGACACCTGGACTTAAAGCATGTTTATCAGGCATTTTGGGACACAGAAATATTAGATATTATTATGAGAATGTTGCCAATTATTACTCCCATTTTTACACTTTTTTTTTCATTACATGTAGCCCCAAGAATGCATTAATATGCAAATTAGATACAGTGAATAGATACATTGTGTTGAATGGATTTTACCCACAAATTGCATAAAGTAAAATGGTATATCAATTAATTCCCTTATATCTTTCATAACACAGCTGAGAATATAATTTTTCAAAAAAGTGTTTTTCCATTTGTTGCTTATGCTCTAAACAATGTACTTTTTTGTTCTGGGTCTCAGGTGGATATGAAAATAAAACAATAACTCCACATACAGTAACCCAAATGCATTCCAGTGTTACTAAATAGTCAAATTAACAGCTAAACAATATACTGTTAAAAAATTTTCTAAAAAAGAAAAAAGAATGCATTGAAATGACAAAAAAAGAAGAATATGTTTAATAATTGTTACTTTTAATTAATGCATATTCTGATAATGTGCATATTATAGTAATGTGAATATACAATGTTATAAAAAAATTTTTTATGATTTATGATTTTTGGGATTCTGGCCAGAATTTAACAAGTAAAATAGTTCAAAATATAATTAATATATAACTTTGACAATGACTAGTATTTTAATATACAGTATTATATTAAAATATATATTAAACATATATATTAAACATATATATATATATATATATATATATATAATTATTATTATTATTATTTATTTTATTTATTTTTTACAAATATGTGTTTTATAAAGCATTCCTCAGAATTCATTAGGAAAAGATAAGATTCAATTGTCTTCATGTCATTTCTGTTACATTTTCAAGTTAACCAATAGAAGGTATGTTACCCGCTCCAGGTAAGATGCCAGTCGGTCATTGAGGTTCTGCATGGTCTGCTTCTCGTTGGGATACAGCTGAACCTCATTAACAGCCGTCGTCAAGGATGAAGTGGACAAAGATCTGGAGAGGCGCGCACCGTAGCCCCCAGCGCTGCCATAGTTTTGTGCACCAAAAGACAAATTGACCATTGAACTCCCCAATCCGTTCATGACCAGTCCACCAGCGGAACCATGGCCAGCTGACCCGAACACACTCCGAGTGGTGAACGTCTTACTACTGCGACGGACCGACATGGCTAATTCAGAAGATCTGTGGATGGATGTCTGCCAATGTCGAAATTAAACATCTAAGCTAATTTCCACTAAAGACTGACTTATATAGCCCTGCTGCATCCCATGGTGTCAGGTTTCCAGTTCCAGTGAATAGGTGGAATGTGCCCAGACGCTTATTAAAACCATTGACTTCAAAAACCTGCTATCACACCCTTGACCTTCAAAACTATGTAAAATGATTTGTGGCTTAAAGAGATTATCTTTCTCATCTTTCTTCAACTGTTGTACTATTGTATAAACTGATTGTTTGTATTGGTCATGTGCCAGTCATAGGTAACAGTGTTTTTTTTCTAAAAGCTGTTACTTTTTCTTCTTTTAAATGCAACCATTAATTATACACATATATGTGACAGTATTAAAGAATAACTCAATTTCTCGTGTTTGTTTACTTTGTGTATTCGCCACAACATTCATCAGGTTTGCTTTTCCGTTTAGTTCTTCTGAACATTGTTCTTGCACTCAAATGTCATGTAGCCTACCTGAACTATAAGCATCAATCATCATGATGAATGGATTTATGTGTCAGAATGTAGTAAAAACACATCTCTTCAGTACATTTTTCTCCATCAGTAGCCTAATACCAGATCACCGTCTCTAAAAATATAGTCTTAACTTGTAATTAACAGATTGGCTGGTATGTATGACAGAAATGGGGATATACATGTTGACATTTCTTAAGAAATAAATCATGATGTCAAGCTATTCTGACTTCAACTGTCAGAACATGCAAATTCATGGCCCGACCCATTCTGATGAAAATATTTCACTCAGTGCATTCACTTGTAATTGCATGTACATGTATTCCCTTCTGGCAGATTTCTTTTGAGAAAGAAAATCGTTTTGTCTAATGTAACTTCAACAATTTCCAAGGTAAAATGTATTGTTTATATGAACTATAAATCATTTAGATTTTCACTCTTTGATGTAGTTGTTTTTTAATTTTCATGTTGCTTGGACCACATGTCTTACATAAAAGATATATATATATATATATATAATTTTTTGTGTCCATACAATGAAAGTCTGTGGAAACCAAAGCTTTTTGGTTACCAACATTCTTCGAAAAATCTTTTTTGTTCCACAGTAGAAAGAAAGTCATAAAGTTTGGAATGACATGAAGGTGAGTAAATGATGACAGATTTGTCATTTTTAAAATTCCTTTCATAGTTATTCTTTTTTTAAAAGAGTTTCATCCGGGGTCGCTAGTGCGCATGCTTGAGGTATAGACGCGTTTAGTCAGGGCTCCTCTCCGAGGCCTCGATAAAGTTATTATTTTGCCGTGTTTTATTTTGTTTTGAACTGTTACAGAGTGTCTTACTTTTTTTTTTTCAAAGTAAACCTGTGTTATAACTTGAAAATGCCGAAGCCGAATGCCTCTAATAAAGTTAAGAACGCTGATGACCAAGTCACTGCAGCTACTGCTAAACCTAGCAACTCGCCCGGCAAATCTGAGAAACTACCGGACACTGCTTACGCTATGTGTAAGGAGATCTGCAAAGAGATGTCCGAGTCCATTTTGCGGGGAGTAAATGCCCGTTTTGATGCGTTTGAGCTTAGGCTATGTTTACATGGAAACGATTCTGAAGAGAAAACGCAAAAGTGGCGTTGCGTCATCACTTTTTATTCTGCGTTTAGACGAGCTTTTTGTGTGGGAAATCCGCGTGCAGATGGTGACGCAAAAGTCTGTGAAATTCAATGTAGTATGCACTCCAGGTGGCAAGGAGTGCATACTATAACAACACCAAGTCCACGCGCCTGCGTACAACCTTCACTGTCAAGCAGACATTTGCGTTTTTACCGTTTACACGGGAACGCGGCGGTGGAGCGTTTTTAAGATTTCCACTCTGGAGGGTGGTTTCACTTTTTTGCGTTTTTAAGCCTCAAAAACGCCGTCGCCGTGTAAACGAAAGGCACATCCGATAAAATATTTTTACGTTTTCACCCGCGAGCGTTCTCGTGTAAACAGGGCCTTAATTTCCAGAAGCTTGTGGCGTCGCAGGCTGAGCTGCAGGCCCGGGTGGCTAACCAAGAGTTGGCTACAAGTGACTTTGAGGCGCGAATAACCGAGTTGGAAACCAAGTATTCAGAGCTGTCTAAACAAAACAGTCAGCTCCGCGCTAAAGTTCTGGATCTTGAGGCTCGGTCTCGGAGGCACAATATTAAGATCGTGGGGATACAAGAGGACGAAGAGGAGGGTAAACCCACTGAATTTTTCTCCAGACTGATTCCTCAACTGCTTGGGGAAGAGCATTTCCCTTGCCCAGTTAAAGTGGATCGAGCGCATCGTTCTCTCCAGCCTAAATCTGCAGTTGGTGAGAAGCCGCGTACTATCTTGGCTCGCATCCACCATTTCCAAGAGAAGGAGCTGATTCAGCGCCGTGGGAGAATGCAACCACTGGAATACAAGTGGAGACGGGTGCTGATCTTTCCCGATTATACCGCAGAGGTTATGTCTCAACGGAACGCCTTTCGGGAAACAATGCAAGCCCTGCGCAAAAAGGCAATTAAGTTTATATTGCGGTACCCGGCTAGGCTGCAAATTCACCAGCATGGAGAGAGGCCGCCTACAGTCTTTGATGATCCGGCGATGGCAGCGCGATTCGTGGAAAAGTGCGGTGAGAAATCCGGAGAGTAGACTTGATAGTGGTCGATTACAATTTTCTTGTGGTGTTCGCTCTCACAGCGGGTGGCTAGTCGCTATTGACCGCACAATGCACTCAACTGTAACAATTGCGATTGTATTGCGTGCCTAATCTGTCATATGGGTTGTTCTCGTATCGGTTTTATGAATGCCCAATCTCAGTTTCAGTGTACATTTTCAGTTAATTATTATTATTATTTTCTCTTCTTTCTTAAAAAAGGAAGAAATTCTGACCCCCTTTTTTATTTTAAATTAATTCATTTTACTTAATTCATTTTATTTATTTATATTTATCCATTTATTTATTTGTTTTCCTTTCTTTAAATTTCTTTTTAAAATTATTATTATTTATTTTTATGGCAATATATTCTCTGTATCCACATGTCTGAGGCCTTGGGGAGGTGTTCTTTTTTTTTCCCCCTTGAGGTGTTGTTTTTTGATAACTGCCCGGCAGCTCCTTTCTGGATGGAACTGGGAATTTTGTGTCTGGTTCTGGTTGACACGAAGGCGGGTGGGATAAGTTCTGAGTTGTTGTCCTTTTTGGCTTGGACTTATTATATTTTTATTTGCGGTCTCTTTATTCGTCTGTGTTTTTTACTTTTTTGTTTAGTCCTTTACAATGTTGTGGTGAGCAGGACGGCCGAGGGACGTGAGAGAACGTCGCGAGGCCGGTGGTGCGATTGCTAATGAGCAGCACCTGTGAAGCACACCGGTCTCGCATCTCTCATACACTTCGTCGCTCCCCCTTTATGCCTCCGCTCCTCCGTGAGAGATGCGAGACCGGTGTGCTTCACAGGTGCTGCTCATTAGCAATCGCACCACCGGCCTCGCGACGTTCTCTCACGTCCCTCGGCCGTCCTGCTCACCACAAATGTATTCTTCTGATGCTGCTAGTCATGTTATGTTATCAAAGATGCCCATTCCAGGATTTAACTCTTTTTTTTTTTTTTCTACATGCCAAGGTCTTCTGATAGGGCATTGACTGAGGGGAAAAACGTGACATTGGTCTCTTGGAACGTTAAGGGGCTTGGACATGCTATAAAAAGAGAAAAAGTATTTAGACACCTTAAATCATTATCATCAGATGTGATTTTTCTACAAGAGACCCATATTAAAGCGACTGAGCAGCGTAGATTGAGGTGCAGTTGGATATCACAGGTCTATCAATCTCCGTTCACTTCCCATGGGGTGGCCATTCTTTTTCGGAAAAACTTTCCATTTAAACTTTCCTCTATGACCACTGATCCTTATGGCAGATATATTATTGTATCTGGAACCATAAACTCGTTCCCGCTGACTTTCTTAAACATTTATGGTCCAAACACTGACGACCCTAATTTTTTCAAGAAGGTTTTTGACCTACTCCCTGATGAGAATAATTCCAGAATAATAATCGGGGGAGATTTGAAGCCCTTACTTGGATAGACTATCCACTCGTCCTCCCCCCGGAATTGCGTCTGTACAGGCCTTAAACAACCTGCTGAAAAGCAGAAATTTGGTGGACATTTGGAGAGTTCAACACCCTACTGATAGGGATTATTCTTATTACTCCCATGTCCACAAATCGTATAGTAGAATAGATTATTTTTTGGTTGATTCTCAGTTAATTTCACAGGTTACTGATAGCAAGTACCACAGTATATTGATATCTGATCACAGTCCCCTGACCATGTCTGTTGACTTCTCTCTTCCTAAGCAGTCTTATTCATGGCGTTTTAATCCATCTCTGCTTACTGATAGTAAATTTGTAGAATACATTACTACCAAGCTGAAAGAGTTTATAGAGTTTAACGATAACAGGGAGGTGTCAGATTCTACTCTCTGGGAGACTTTGAAAGTATACGTGGGCATATTATTTCTTATGAATCTGCTTCCAAAAAGGAAAGAGAGAAGCGACTTTTAGAGATACAAACTGTTCTTCCTACCCTTGAATTGGCATATCAGGAGTCAAAATCATCTGAGGATTATAACAAAATAATGAAGCTTAAGTACGAGTACAGCTGCATTCTTGGTGGTCAAATAAACAACCTTTTTTTGAGAATGAGGCAGAGACACTTTGAAACGGGGGATAAGCCCGATAGGCTCTTGGCGCGACAGCTCAAAGGGACTCAGGCTTCCAGGTCGATCTATAGCATTAAGTCTAAAGAGGGAATCCTTTTAACTAACCCCAAGGACATTAATGCCCGCTTTAAGGATTTTTACAATGAACTTTATACTTCTAATAGTACAGCCACTCATTCTGATCTAATGGATTTTTTTGACTCTCTTGAAATTCCTAAGCTTGGCGACGCTGCCAGGGCCGACTTGGATTCTGACTTTACTTTAGAGGAGATAGTCAACGTTGTGAAGTCATTTCCAAATGGGAAGGCAGCGGGGCCAGACGGATTCTGTACTGAATTTTTTAAGAGATTTTGTGATATCCTTGCCCCGCTCCTCCTTAGAATGATAATCTGTTCTAAAAAAGAAAATATTCTGCCTAGTACATTGTACAAAGCCAATATCTCTCTTATTTCAAAGAAAAATAAAGATGAAACTGACCCATCCAGCTATAGGCCAATTGCGCTTCAGAATTTTGATAGAAAAGTAATTACTAAAGCGTTAGCTATTCGGCTTAACAAACATTTACCCTCTATCATTCACCCTGACCAGACTGGATTTATCCCTGGTAGATTCTCTTTCTCTAATGTACGTCGCCTCCTCAACACAATATATGCCAATCATGCAAAAGCTAATGGGGCAGCAATCCTATCTTTGGATGCGCAGAAAGCTTTTGATCAAGTCGAATGGCCTTACATGTTCGCATCATTACAAGGGTTTGGATTTGGTGAGACATTTATATCGTGGGTCAGATTAATGTACGCCAGGCCAATGTGCTCAGTTTTAACTAACACAGACAGGTCGCCTAGGTTTCCCTTGCACCGCTCAGTGCAACAGGGGTGTCCCCTCTCACCTGCCCTTTTTGCCATTGCAATAGAGCCTCTTGCCCTAAGTATAAGGCGTCATACAGATATCAAGGGTCTTGAAGTGGGGGGGAGGGAGGCTCTTATTAGTCTGTATGCTGACGACATAATATTGTATTTATGGAACTCTGAGAGATCAGTTCCCATTCTCTTAGATTTAATTACTTCTTTTGGGAGACTAACGGGATATAAAATTAATTGGTCAAAGAGTAACTTTATGCCTCTCTCTGATACTTACAGGCCTGGATTTTTGGAGAATAGTCCGTTTAAGATAGTTAGGGATCATTTTACGTATCTCGGACTGACAATCCCCAAAGATCCCAAATTAATATTTAAGTTGAATTTTGTGGAGTTTCTTTCTAAGCTCAAAAAAATATAGGGAATTGGAAAATTTTACCTTTGTCTATGATTGGCCGTATAAATTCAATTAAAATGGTTTCTCTTCCTAGATTCCTATATCTATGTCAAAATCTCCCTATTTTTCTTACCTCTGCCTTCTTTAAGGAACTGGATTCTATAATCCTGTCTTATTTTTGGAATTATAAAACCCACCGGATTTCTAAAAGTCATCTACAAAAATCCAAGTCTTCAGGTGGTCTGGGTATGCCAGTATTTAAACATTTTTATTATTGGGCTGCCAATATTAGGGCTCTAATGTTCTGGCTGAAGGGGGCCTCAGGGGTTTGATTACCCGGGGCCCCCTTCAGCCAGAACATTAGAGCCCTAATATTGGCAGCCCAATAATAATGTTTAAATTATGGGTACAAATGGAGACTAACCTGGCTGTCGGCACCTCCCTAACGGCACTGTTGTTCTCCAAATTGGATAAGCCTAAAGAGTTAAATAAATTAAGCTTTGTTTTGAAAAATTCAGTAAAAATTTTAAATCAGGTGAGAAAAGTTTTGTCGCTGCCGGAGACCTCTGTTCACATGCCAATTTGTTACAATCAGTCCTTTTTACCCCCATGGTCTGATAGAACTTACCATATCTGGAGGGAGAAGGGTTTAGGTTCCATTAAAGATCTTTATGTTGAGGGGCGGTTTGCATCTTTTAATCAGTTAAGAGAGAAGTTTGATTTGCCTCATGCACATTTTTTTCGTTATTTACAAATCAGACATTACGTGAAGTCCAAAATTTGTAATTTTGAACTCCTCCCAGAGAAACATGTCTTTTTCGATGTTTTTTTTAATCCTCCTGACTCTAGGCATCTTATTTCTAAATTTGTTTGTTTATTTGGAAGCTGCCTCTCAGCCCCTACTGCAAGGTTTAAAGAGGCCTGGGAGGAAAACCTATAGGAGTTGAGCTCTCTGATGACACGTGGGACAGGTGCTTGGCTACGATACATGCCTGTTCAGTCAACAGCAGACATCAACTGATCCAATTTAAAGTTATCCACCGCTTACATTAGACTAAATCTAAGTTGCATAAAATGTACCCCTCTGTTTCACCAATGTGCGACAGGTGTAAGGTGGCAGAGGATACAACCTCTCCTGCTTTCTGGTTTTGCCCTTCATTGTGTTTTTTGGACAAGCATTTTTGACTGGTACTCTAAGGCTTACAATATGCCTCTTTCACCGGATGCTGAACTTGCCATCTTCGGCCTCTCACATCGTACCTCTTGCCTTTCAAGTGCATTGCAACAGTCCTTGATGCTGGGTATGGTCGTGGCTAAGAAACTTGTGCTCAAGAACTGGAAGTCACCCTCACCTCCTTCCTTCCAGATGTGGATAATGGACATGATCTCTGTCATACAGATGGAAAGACTTCGACTTTTAAGGACTGATTCTTTAGAAAAGTTTTCCGCTGTTTGGGGTTCATTTCTCGGGTATTTAGACAAATTAACAACTCAGTCGGCCCCCAGTGACTTCTCTAATGTTTAGGCTGTATATCCCTTCTGGGCACCTAGTCTGTAAGGCAGCTTTTTACTAATGTACTTTTGTATATTGGACAACCCCCCCCCCCCCCCCCCCCCCCCCCAATTTTTTCTTTTTTTTTTCCCCTCTCTCTTGTGTGTGTAGTCCTTGCCAATGTTGTTTGTTTTGTGTTTTAAAAATCCTTTAAAATAAAGTATACAAAAAAAAAAAAAGAGTTTCATCCTTGAGGCTGTTTTCTTTATTATGATATAGGGATTGTATCATCAGCCTGACATTCTTACTTTATGTCCCCTCAAAAATATCAAAATAACATATCAAAATTAAATTTAAATCAGAAATTTAAAAACGGCTTATCATAGAATGGGTGCATTTAAGTCATTCTATACGGAACATAAGTTTATAGATCACATCATTGTCCCATTATGTCATCAAAGCTAATACTGAAGATATGGAAAAGTGGAATACTAGTAATAAAGAAGGATACAACACATCATCTGATGTCATATACCTCAATATAGGCTATGCTTTCAAAGGTGAATTGGCAATTATTTGTTCACCTCAGACAGATGATAGCAGAGGATTGTGATCTTGGGTAAAATCTTTAGGTACATACATCTAATGGTCCTGAGAGGAAGCAACAGACTCCTCTCCAGCAATAAAATCAAAAGCACTGCATCACAGCCTTTCACCGTCAGTTCATTTGAATCAATACGATAGTTTAAAAAAATATCACTTATTGATGGCACATCATATAATATTACATTAGAACAAATGATTAGATGAGAACTTGGGTGCTGACATGAATAAAAAAAAAAAGTGCTAATTCTTTTTCACAGACCACGTACATGTTAATGTTGTTTCCCATTAGTTAAGTGCCATGACTTTCCTGATCATATGGTTTTGTAATGTTTGCTATGTTAAATAGAATAAAAACTATTGAATTTCCCATGCCATGTTCTGTTTACTGTCATGTCTGACGTATTCGGCTTAAGCATGCTCCTCCTCCTGAACAATAATTATCCAAATCCATTGATTAACGCTTTTGTTTTTTACCTGCAAATTAAATATAAGGGGCCTGACCAGATATTTTGTATTACAAGGTTTTATTCTTACACTCTGTTAAAACGTTTCTGGCTCAGCACTATTAAGGTACTGTATATCAGTTTTTACTTTTAATATCCTTTATATTTCCATCTTAAGATAATCTGTCTTTGGAATTTGATATCTGGTTTCTAGCTGGTCGTTAGCTGGAATAAGTTTGTATTGTTCTGATCTAAGTTGGTCTGATCTATTTGCTGGCACACCATCTTGGATTAGCTACAAACAAGCAACCAGTCGGTCACTTCAGTTGGCTTTTGGAACATGGTGAATGGTTGATCAGCTAATAACTAGTCTGAACCAGCTATAAACTATCTACCATGTTCCAAATTTGTTTTAAACTAACATGGATTTCCAGCAGAAATGGGTTGTTTTTATTTAACTTTATTTTTATTTATACTGCTTTTAAATACTTGCAATAATTCTTCACAGAAATGATGGCCAAGTGCATTGTATTGACCGCTATAGTGATGCTGGCAGTGGCGTGTGTGGCTTCTCCTCTGTCCAAAAACAAACCTGCGAACACAAAGGAAATGGCAGGACTTCCAGAGAGACCACCTGAGACACCTGAGAGACTGCAGGCCCTTGTGAGGCGTTCATTGCAGCTATCGGAGGATCAGCGCGAACTCATGTCCCGGCAGCTCTTACAGGCACTATCAGGTGCGTGTCTCTGAAGATATAAACATGAGAAGAAACAAAGCCTCGCTCTTACTTGCTGTTCTTCGTGTTTTGGGCAGAAATCATCCAACGAGAGGACTGCGTTACAGATTACCAAGGCTGGGTAGATTTTGGGCGCCGAAGTGCAAACTGAGACTGTATGCAAAGTAGTTAAAACTCTGTACTGTGATCTGTCAATAAATATATTTGCAACTATATGTGTTTGTGTCATCAGATTGCGAATTAATTTGAAAAATTATGTACACTCACGTGAGATAAAGATGAAGACACTGTCTTCAAGACTGTCATAATAGTAGCTGTATAAAAGCTGTATTATTATACATGGAGTGGGTGGCCATACTTTATCTCAGTAATTTTTTTTGTTTTGTTGCTAAATTAATTATAAATGGCTGGCTGCAAATAACATACAGTATAACGACTACAAGCATCAACCAATTTGGCATCAAAAAAATAGATACAATTCCTTTAAAAAGTCTGTCCTCTTGATGGTCAGTGAATAGCGTGGATTATTGCAGATAAGAAGCTCTGTGACCAACGAAGATTTATGATTCTTTCACGTTTTGTTCATCATGATAGTCTTCACAAATGAACACAACTTTTATGAATTTAAAAGCCTAAACACAATCGCCAGAAGTATAAAGTTCAAAGTAGGCTATAAACAAACTGGACCACATGTAACTATTATTGATTTATTTTATGTCGTTGAATAAAACAATGGTTTTCAAATCCTGGTCCTGGGAACCCATCGCTCTGCACATTTTTTATGTCTCTCCTACCTGACATAGGAAACACTGACTTGTTTCCCAGCTGCCTTATCAGGCAATGACCTCGCAAGATTTTTAACGGTGAACCCCCTCGGAAAGCGTTTGGGCTAGATTTGGCCGTGAGTGGGCTAGTTTTGATTACCATTTGGGCAGGTAAAATGTACCAAAGGTGTTCTGGGAAGACCAACCTCCAGCCAAACAAATGTCTTCAATCACCATCCTTTATCTGAAAGCCTATGAAGAAGCCTTACTCCTAGTTGAGTGAGCATAAACTCCAATGGGACAAGTCTCATTTTAAGAAACAATTGCTAACGCTGTAGCTTCCACAATCCAGTGAGACAAGCGCTGATCAAAAGTGAAGCTGACTTAGAAAGTGGCAGATCGAAAGTGCGACCTCCAAAACAGACAAACTTTAACAGTCTTTTACGAGTTCACACTTACAAATAATCAGATCAGAGTAAAGTAGTATGCATATTTAGTGATGTTAGGTCTGACACCGACTCTCCGAAGCTTGCTTCAAACTCGATCGGTCCTTGCAATGAACCACTGCTTCGGAGCTTGTATCATTACGTCACTAGTCACGTGAAAATGACGTCTGAAGCAAACACACTGGTTCACTCCTGTAGTGAACCACCTGACTGCTTTGACAGCCCGATCCAGTGTTGACAGATTTGAAACCTGGCGGCTGTATTTCTTATAAAAGTGAAGCCAAACCATGGCAACACCGTGGGTTGTAGTAGTCAGTGTTTGGATTGGCGTTATTGTTGAGGAGAGTGGATTTTATTTTTTATTATTAATTAGAGAACATATGAACATTGTTACATAAAAACATGCATCAAAGACAGAAACTTCAAAAACCCTCTGCTACATTATACAAGTACAACTAGTTACACAAGCACCTCCTTTTCAACATACAAAAATATCAGTCCCACCAGTTAAGTTATAGAGTTCTGCTTCCTACAGCTAAACAAGATAAAGCTTTCACACATGATGCTGCCCTGCTAAAAAAAAAAAAACTATAGAAAACATTACAGAAATTCTATTGGATTTAATGGTTTACATTATGGAATTTTATTGGTTTTCATAGGAATTTGATTGGTTGTAATGGGAATTATAGTGGTCTCTGTGGGTCTCTACTGATATGTGTTGGGTTATATTGGTAGGGGCATTAAATCCTAATGGAATATGTCCCAAACACACTACAAAAAAATAAATTATTTTATTTTATTCTTTTATTTATTCTTTTATATTTAATTCTATTATCGTTTTAATAGAAACCATTAAAATTTCTGTGATGGTTTCCAACTTTTTTTAAGCTGGTCTGATCTTCTGTCTTTGTCTAAAGAAATAATTACACACACACATTATGTTTAATGTTTTATTATCAAGGTGAACACATGAAATTCATCAGTATCTGTAAAATTCACCTACATAAATGAGTTTCACAGCACTAACACTGTTTCAGCTTTGATCGCCTCGGTAAACACGTAATAAACGGGGCGTTAACATAAGCCTACTGACATTTTATGGTTGTCAGCTTTGTTGCATTACAGTTACTTCACCAGGAGATGGTGCTGCAATTTCTCTCTGAATGAAGCTTCGTGTAATGAACCATTTTCGACACAATTGTATCAGAAAGCAATAATGCTTCGAAACGCTTCATTTGGCCATCACTATGCATATTAGGCGTGATGTCCGAGGAGTGGGCTCCGAGCTCGGAATTTGGCCCGAACCCAGAGTACTCCCCCTGTATTTCTGGTTAGGACAGTAACCAGGCGAGTGTGAGGAGACGGGGTGGTGGAGGGATGCTGAAAATTGTTGAGTCGACTGTGTATATAGGCCTCCACTAATTTGCTGATTGGGTAGATATGTTGATTACTGATAGTTGACAGCTGGTTGGAATGACGTGATGATTGGAATGATGATGATGATTGGAATGACGTGATGATTGGAATGATGATGATGATTGGAATGACGTGATGATTGGATAGATAATTTGAACGTGTTTCTACCGAACTTTGTTAATAAAACATCAGAAAATGACTAGACCTGTTCAAATACTGTATGCGCACAAAGCGTGAACATGGCATAAAGGATGTGGTGGAGACGTAGTCTCCTGAGAAGCAAGCGCTTGGAGCATTATAACCTGTGCTCTAAACGGTGTAAACAATACTTTGGACAGATATCCACATCTGGGACCTGACCATACAGTCATCTTTACCAAACACCATGCAAGCCGTGTCAGTAGATAGAGCATGTAAATCACTTACTCTCTTCCCACCCCCCAAAGCAAATAAAAGTGCCATCTTGAATGAAATCACTTTTGTTTCAAAAGGTGGCCCATAAAAGTGCGCTAAGCACCAAAGAAAAACCCAGACAAGTACTATAGGACAAGAAGGATGCAGCTCCTCTTGGAATCCCTGCTACCAAACTGTACTTACCTACTGAACGACAATCAAGGGGCGAGTCAAAAAATTAAAAGGCAGCAATTTACACCTTTAGAGTGGATGGTGTGCTCTGTTATCCAAACAGTCCTGTAGAAACGACAAAATGACAGACACAGCACAGGTCGCTGGGTCCCAATTTTTTGAGTGCCCCTCACACTGACCTGTCAGACATGCAGGTTCCATAGCACCGGCTTGGAGTGCCAAATAGTGCCCATCCCTCTGTAATGGAATCTGCCAATGGGGAGCCACCAGAAGATCCACCAGTTCTAGAAACCACAGCTGGGTGGGCCAGTTCGGAGCGACCAGCAGCACGGTCTCCTGTTCCTCCATGATCTTGTGCAGCACAAGCAGCATGATTTTAAAAGGCATATTTGTGCTTCTTTCGCCAGTGGCTTGATAACACTTGCCCCTTTAGGAGAGCACTCATCAGTGAAAAGAACAGCGGGCAATGCGCGTTCTCCTCCGAGGCAAAGAAATCGACCTCCACTTCTCCAAACAGGCTCCAAATCATCAAGGCTGTCTGAGGGTGTAGCCTCCATTCACTGTGAACTGTGTCACCCCTGGACAGTATGTCCACGCTGCAGTTCAGACGGATGGGAACATGGACTTTCCGTATCGATATGGGGTTCCAGTCCACCCTCAAAAGGAAACGTTCCACCAGCCTTTGAACCAGGCAATAAGGAAAATCCCCTTGGTGATTGATGGACAAGACCACCGCCACGTTGTCCGTCTCAACCAGGACATGACGATCCTTCACGAATGGAAAAAAGTTCTGCCAAGCTAAAGATCTCTCAGCTCTAGGCAGTTTATGTACCACTTTGACTGACTGCGCACTTGTCTAAGGGGCTGCCATCGCATAGGCCTCCCCGGCCCATCAACGATACATCTGTCATTGCGACTTTACAGTCCTGAGACAGGCACGCTCGTATCAAATGCGAGTCAAAGGATCATACCCAAGAACGCAATGAATCTGCGAGGGATGGAGCATTCTCTTCCGGATGTTGATGGACAGCCCTAAGCACAACAAGTGATCCAGAAGCTATTTCTTCTGGATATATAAGCTGGATTTCTAGCACATTCTGAGACTGGGCCAATCGTCCAAGTATTTCAGAATGCGCCTGAGAGGAGAAAGAGCTGCATTCACACACTTTGTAAACGTTTTGGAGCCACAGCCAGCCCGAAAGAAAGGACTTTAAACTGACAGTGGTGTCCTCGAATGCAAATCTCAGAAAGCGGCATCTGAAAGTTGCAGTTGGTGGTTAGTTTGTGTGTAAATGTAAATTTTTTACCAAAGTTTTCCACTTTTGATGCCATTTCTTGCGCAACTTTCAGATGCCATCTTTCTTTTTCTAGCTCAACTGTCACCGAATGGAATTCATAGGATTATGGGAAATCAAAGGCAGCAAAGGATACATCTATGCTGCCTTCAAAAATCGATCAGGTGAAGGTATCCCAGGTCAGGAGGCAGGAAGTGAAGATAACATTGAATTCGGACGTGCCTTGATGCCTTCCTACCTTGGAACGCGTCCTCAGAAGGCAGCAAGTTTTCGGATGCAGTCAATGTGTTAGATAGAAGAGACATACAAAATGTGCAGAGCAGTGGGTCGAACATATCCTTATTATTTATAATATAAACCTTATTTTAGGCATTTAACCAAAAAAACAACAACATTGACTTTGGGACTATGGAACCAGAAAGGCTAACTTGCTTCCAGGTTTTGGCCTACAAAAATATGTCATCCCTGCAGCTCTCTATTTTTCACACTGTTTGATGTGCTGTTTTCAGACCATTTTAGGACACTTTTTGTACTCTCTTTACTATATCAAAATGTAGGTTATTTCAATTTATGTATTTAAAATTAACATAAAAGAAAAACAGGTCAGTTCACACACATATAAACATGCAGACGTTTCAAAATACACTGAAATCTTTATTGCCATGTAACACAATATCATATCAGTGCCCAAAAAAGTTACTTTTTAGATATAGTGAACTCAGTGGCTTCAATTCATTGTAAGACTAAACAGTGTTCTAATGTAAAAATACAACCATTACTCAACCTTTTTCCTTCTTTAAATTAATAATTCTTTAAAAAAAAATCATTATCCTTTTTTTAAAAACAACTCTATACATTTTCTACAAAATTATGACCAGGCATTGTGTTTTGTACAGTGGTATTTCAGGTAGATATTTATATATATATATATTTACTACTTTTTAAATAACCATTTTGTTTTCAGACACTAGATCAGTAAATACTACACTGCATTATGTCCCTCTGAAAATCTCAAATGCATAGAAGGCTTTCCACATACAGATATATTACCATGTTTCTTTTCATTTGGCTGACAGACTCTAGTGGACATAATGAAATACGTTGATGGAAAGACAGGTTGTTGAGGGGAAAATAAAAGCTGTGTTAAATGGACAATGCACCCAAGTGATCTTTTATCCAGTGATATAAATTCCCAAGACGACTCTATATTATAATTACCCGATTGTGTATTTACTATTTATGGCTCTAGAGCACTTAATTCAAGCAGAACTGCACCATTGACTTTATTACTGCATCCCTGATTCTGACAAAACACAATCATATGCATTACAAACTTTACAATTGGGTGAAAATGTGTCTGTGACATTAAAGTTACATTACATACAGTACATACGTGTGTGTGTGCGTGTGTGTGTGTGTGTGTGTGTGTGTGTACCATCACAAGAGGTGTTCTTGCATTAAAGCACAGTGAAAATAAAGCACAAGATCACTTCTATTTGCTCAAAAAGTCTGTATAATGTTCCCTAAATTGACCACCAACAGAAATACAGCTTCTCATTTTTACAGTGTTTAGACTGCAGGTACAGTACATAACTTCACATAATGTACCCTGCATTCCCTAGAAAAAGGAGTTTAAATGCCCTGAAAAGTGCTATTATGAACAAATGTATTTCTCAGGAAACAGAACGCACTACTGACATTGATGCTTGGTTGGCAGCAAGCAAAAAATGAGGCCACATAGTGCATTTTTCTGTAGTGTTGCTACAATTTCATAACAATAAACCTGTGATTTCAAGACTGATGATGACAATGTCTCGAAAAAATAGACGACATGTTAAAAAGTCAACAAATGTGCAGCTATTCTCTTCTGAAGAGTGTTCAAAACACCCAATGACAATGATACAAAAGATGTGTTTGACTTCATCATGAAATATATTGAGGTGCAGTTCATAATTAAAATTCCTAGTGACGCATACATTAAAAAGCTAATTTGATGTCATTCAACTGGTATGGCTTCTGGAATGTCCCATAACAAATGAGAGAAGTTTAGCTGCATGCCAAAATGAGCGTGATGCACGAAATGGCACCTTTAATGATGAACAGCTCTGTGCGTTTCATGGGGGACTATTGTACGGGTCTGGTTTTTCTGTTCGACAATAATCCACCAATCCTCTGGCAACCACTTTGTACAGGCCCAGGCTTCTGAGCTTTTCCACAAGGTTGACGCTGAAAATGTTTCTCTGCCGTTCCTTTTCTCTTTTTACTTCACTTGTATCAAAGGCTCGTTGTCTTTCCTCTGAGGATGCGGTGAGGGAGTGAACGAGAGGAGAGCGAGGATAGGCTGCGGCTGAGATGCCATGCTCGGATACAAGTTGCAACAGGCCGAGGGAGGAGGTCGGGTGGAGGTGTGATGTGGACCCAGAGACGCACTGAAGGCCTGATGACATCCTCACCTGCTCACAGCTCCCACAAGCGGACGCACTGCGGGGCCGAAGGCTAGGGAGAGAACAAGGAAGAACAATGTCAGATGCTCCATGGGAAACTTTAGTCAGCTACACTAAACCACACCAGAAATGAACAGGGCAGAACACAAGTGTTAGTAAAAGCCTTTCCGGATAGAAACGCATACGATTTATGATCATGCTTATGAATAAATGGATGTGAAGATGAGACTTGAACAAGTTGGTTAACAGGTTCAACAGCATTTAGAAGAAGAGTTGACATGCACAGTCTAGTATTAGTAAGTCATTCTCAAAAAAATATTTCAGTCATGATAAGGATTTTAAATATTCAAGAAACCAATGACATTTTAATGATATGGTAAAATCTGGAAAAAAATCCCTTGTCCTCTTCATCTGGAATATTAATTAAATGAAATGTACAGCTAGCTAGCTACCAATTTATTTAAAGCTCCAGTCCATAACTTTTTTAAGTTAAAAATAATCCAAAATAATTATATTAAAAAAAACTTATTCTGCCAGTGGTCAAAACTATCTGCTTGCCATAGCTAGATTCAAAACGGTTAGCTTGTAATAATGATTTTAATTCCAGTGGTACTGGTGGGTTTCCGCGGGAAATTCGAGCATGTCTTTGCGTCATTACGTCACACCCGTACATATAAAGAAGGAGTTTCGGCTCCTTCGGCTATACTGCGCGTGACGAGATGTTTAGATGTATAGGCTTTTCTCGCAGCACTTTACATTATTAAACTTATGGCATCCAGAAAGATCCAAACAACAATCATCAGTGTCAACTGGAGATTCAGCAGTTATAAAACCCAAAAGACTTCGTACTTCGGATTTAAGGTGGCTAGAGAAAGAGAAAGAAACCGCCTCATGCAAACACAAGGATTTAAACATCGGCGGGGCTTTTGAAAAGTGCGTGAACTCCGTGTTTTGAAGGGGTTCAAAACGGAAGAAGAGACGGCTTTTTTCTGCTGAACAAGTAAGACATTTCAATAGTTCAATCGTGTAACACGTTTTCTTAATTCACACAGTTATGGAGTTTCCTTTGTTGTGCCTTTCTCGTTTTGCTATTATGGAGAATATGAATTCTGAACTACACAGGTAACCATAAAACACATTAAATTTAACATTAGTCACGCAATGCTGATGTTGTTAACATGAACAATTTGAGAACAAAGTAGGCTATAATTTGCACGGTTGCTGTAAATCGTGTTGATTAAATCTAACGAAGCTTATCATGTCGAATGCTTTTTCCCCCTTAGTTGGTCAGAACAAAAATGGATGTTACTTACTTGTTCAGAAGACATTTTCTTATGAAAATTCTTATGTTGGTCAAACTTTCAAAAAGTGAATCTGTGATTCTGTATGACAGTAGGCTATCCACACAGCGCAGTGACTGACAGCAGCACTCGCCTCAAAGCACTGTGTTCATCCGCGCTGTTTCATGCCGATTTACAACCCACGTAAAGATGATAATTCCGCGAATCACTGCAGTTACAGATTTCGAACAGAGAGATGGCGACAAAGAGGAAAAGTTACGGACTGGAGCTTTATTTAAATGAATAAATATTTTTTTCCCAGGTGGGCAGAGTGCAAAGAGTTAAAAAAATTCAAACAAGAGCAAACAATTATAATAATGCAAACAATTAAGAAAAGAATGTCCATTTTTTATGTCAATGTTAAAAACTAGTATTTTGAAGGTACAAACATGTTTAAAAAAGGACTTTCAAAGTCAGAAAGTTTGGAGAAAGAACATATTGTTCTACGGAGCCCCTAAGGGACATGGTGAAGGAACAAAAATATGGGAGGAAAAATACTTGTCTATGCTTTTGGGTTCCCCCGAGAAACTTTGCATTCACTCACAAAAAAAAAAAACATTTTTGCAAGCAAACGTTGCAAAACTTTTGCAAGTGAACGCAAACACATTGAAATATATATTTTTCTCCCATCTCATATTTTTTCCATTACCATGTCCCTTTAGGGGCTCCATACTGTTGCTCCAAATGTGCAAAAGGTGATTTCCCCATGATGTTGAAAATTATTAATATACATTTAAATGTATTTTTTTTTTCCACTTGGTCCTTTTGAATGTTATTAATGTAAAGTATTTTATTAGAAAATTATTTAAGGAATGATTTAATGAATTCAAATTTGTATAATTGTTTATTTATGGGAATTTTTCACTGGCGTTACAATCCTTGTTTAAAAAAAATACAAATAAAATAAAATAAGTGAAACTTTACAATAAGGTCTCATTTGTTAACATTAATTAATGCATTAACTAATATGAACTAACAGTGATCAATATATTTTTACAGCATTTATTAACCTTTGTTAATGTTAGTTAATAAGAATGTTCACCATGCAACAACTAATGTTAACAGATACAACATTCGATCTTAAAAATGTACCGGTAAATGTTAAGATCAATATTAGCTAAGAATAATAAATGCTGTAGAAGTATTCTTTATTGTTAGTTCATGTTAACTTATGAAACCTTGAAATAAAATAGTTCAGATTAGTAATGTCAAAACGTTAATATCACCAGCATTTATGGGAGAACTTAACTGTATTTCATAACTTTAGCTTTTTTTTGAGAATGACATTAGTACATTCATTTTCCTTAATAAAACATGATCTTAGCAGAAAAGTGTTATGTTAAAACAGATGTGCGATGCATGAGACATAACAGCACTCATACCTAAACCTATATATGAACAGGAGAGAAGACGGAATCAATAACAAAACGCCATGAATCTGTTATGCTACGATGTTTTTTTTTAGCACATGAATGAAACCTAAGGTTAGAGAGAAAGAAAGTTAGTTGAATGGATTTCACAATTGCACAGATGATCCTAGTAAAGGGATCGAAAAGATCATGCCTGACACGTCTTACTTTACGGAGGATGGTATTATAACTGTACAAAGAGCCGGTTCCAGCGTTTCCTGTTACAGAGGGAAGGAGGGAAAATAAGCAGGAATACTAAAAGAAAGTAGTAAATACTAAAATATTTTTTGATTGTGAAATTTGACACAGACATTTCAAATATTCCGCCAAGTGCCTCATTTTGTTTTTAAATGTAAGAATTTAACCAATTGTCTAGTTTTACACAAATGTCCGTTAAAAGCAAGAGCAGGAGAATTTTGATGGATGAGTGATAGTCCTATAATAAGCACCATGTGAATCATGTCTTACCTGGTGGAGAAGGAGGAGAGGAAGACAGAGGGATGGAGGATCTGACAGCTAGTGGTCGGGTGAGTGGGGGAGGTCTGAGGGATGCTAGGTCTGGATGAACTGACTGCAAGTTTATGTGAGAAAACACAAACACACGCTAAATCTCAGCTATGCAAGACAGCACTATAGTAAAAACAGGGTGGAATTGCTATGAACTGAAGCATGGGGGAAATTATCAATTTGGTCATTTAAAAATACATATATACTGAAATCTAAACCCTTTTTAAAAGAAAATGTGTTGCTGTAGGTGATGCGGTTCTTACCCACAGTGCCGTGCAGGGGGTTGGGGAATTTGGACAGATCAGGCTCATCCTCCTCGAGGTCGTTGAGGCTGTAGACATGCTGAAAATCCCCATCCAGCTCTCTGAAGTCTTTGGTGAGGACACCAGGCCGTGGGTGCAGGATACCCCCCAGATTGGGCTTGGCCAGCTGCTGCCACTGGTGCAGAGTCACTGAGCCTGTGGGCAGTGGAAAGATTAAGTAAATGGGTCAATTAATTTGTTTGTCCCAAAAAAAAAACATTTCAAATTTACAAACCTCTCTGTAGACTTTGCAGAACATATTTGACATAAATGGTTATAATGGCACTAAACAATCACTAAACTTTTGTCATTTGCAATTCACTCTGCTAGTATTATACATTTATTAATAGAAATTCTTAATTTTATATTTTAGAAAACTGAATAGTCGCCTAATATTTTACAGTCAGACTAATACTCGCTTTTCTTTTTTCCATACTTATCCAGATCTGGAAATTGCTCAAATCAAATTCCATACTTTTCATAAACTGGGAAAGGACTCTGTATTTTAATAAAGAAGATGCTTATAAGTTTCACTGCTTAATAATATTTGAAAATGTACCTAATCAAAATCATGTGGGGCAACCAACATGCAGAAACATGATGGGAAAAAAACATCAAACTGGAAATGATATCATACAGAGGATCCCTGCGTCAAATGATATCATACAGAGGATCCCAGTGTTAGAGTCAATACATCTTTTTTTAAGAATCCCATAATTTGATCATGGCAAGATTAATTTTGGTTGTATAATTCTGCAACTCCCCTAAAATGTAAAGATGTATATATATATATATATATATATATATATATATATATATATATATATATATATAATTATATCTAATATATATATATATATCTAATATATATATAATTATATCTATATATATATATATATATAATTATATCTAATGTTTTTTTGTGTTTTTTATTTATTTTTATTTTTAAAAGTACAATGAACTGAAGAAATTCAGCTGAACAACAGCCGAAATGCATCATTTTTCCTGTTTATCACTGTAAAGCTGCTTTGAAACCATCTGTATTGTATAAATATACCTGTAAATAAAGGTGACTTGACTTGAATATATTTTGTGGTTTGGAAAGCCACAAAATCAGGGTTGATCTAAATGTTTAGCTTTCATGACTACTTGTGTGTGCGTATCTACTGACCCTCCAGCGGCTTGACTATCTGCAGCCGTTCGGGCAGGTACGAGCGGGAGGAGCCTGTGCCTGACGAATGCGTGGAGGTGCCAGAGTAGTTAGTTCCTGTGGATGCAACGCTGCCATTGGGCGTCAGGAAGCCGCTGGAGCCGCCGCCACTGCCGCTGCTTCCACTCTGCAGGGCGCGCAGTTTCCTTTCTCGCTCCACCTCGAAGAACGGACGCTCTGATGTGTGGCTCTCCTGACGCTCTGAGAGAGACCGTAGCGCTTCCTCTAGATCCTGCCCACCGGGCGTACCTGGCTGGCCCAAACGCTTCAATTCCAGCAACCTATGCAGGAAATAAGTTAGAATTCATTATTAATTGATTCATTCTTAAAAGTGAATTTTTGTGAAAAATTTAAGAGAAACTAATTGTAGCAGACACTGACCCATGATCCTGTGTGTGTGTTGGAGGCGAGTGCTTATCCTCCAGGTTGACGCTAACATTGTCTGATTCATAATAACTGGTCCGTGGTGTACTGATTCGACTAGAGCGCAATGATGCAGGGCTCGAACCCGTAACCTGGGGAGAGAGATTCTGGGAACGTAGCCGAGCCGCATGATTGACCACTTTCACCGTCTCAAACACCCGCAATGGATGATTCCTGCACAGCAAATTCAAGAGAATCACATCATGTTGTTGCAGTCCATGGTTATTTTACAACATTTATGTACATTAACATTATGTATACAACATATGTTAGGTGCTAAATAAACAGAAAAATATATCTACACGTTAAAACAAAAATATGTATTATTTGAGATGCAAAATTATCTAAGATAATAAATAAAGCATATAGATAATAATAAAGCAACCTTTTTTAAGATTTATGCTAAAATTTGAAAATAATTTGCCAGTGGAATGAGAAAAATAAAATGTAATAAAATAATAAAAAATGCACTTCTGTTCAAAAGTTTGGGGTAAGATTTTTTTAAATGTTTTTGAAAAACGTCTCTCTCTTCTGCTCACCAAGGCTGCATTATTTGACAAAAAGATACAGTAAAACAATAATATTGTGAAATATTATTACGCTTTAAAAGAACTGTTTTCTATTTTAATTTGATGTATTTTATATATATATATATATATATATATATACAAACACACACACATACACGTACTGTATATTATATAAACACAAGCTTTAATGGTAGATGCAATTAAATGCGATTAATCAATTTGACAGCATTAATTTTAATACATTTTCAAATACACTTTTTAAAATGTAAAAGAAAAAGAAATATTTCTTATTATTATCAATGTTGAAAACAGTTGTGCTGCTAAATATTTCTGTTATACATTATTATTTTTAAACCGTGATACATTATTTTCTATTTGAATAGCGAGTTGAAGAGAACAGCATTTATTTGAAATTAAAATCTTTTGTAACATTATAAATGTCTTTACTGTCCCTTTTGATCAAAGTCCCTGCAGAATAAAAACCTTACTGAATAAAATTTCAATAAAAAACTACACTGCATGCATATTCTTCTGAAAATCTTGCACACTTAATATTTTATTAATATTTATAAAATGATGTCTTGTTTAACAGATATTTAGATTTTTTTTTTGTAAAACGAATCAAAACTGCTGATTTGCAATATATGAACAGCTGTTACATGTACTCAGGTGACTAACTTGTACTCAGTGGGCGCTGGGCTGTCTAGGCCCTTCCGGAAGGTTCCTTCAATCTCAGCAGCAAGTGAATCCATTGGGAAGACCGCTGCCAGGGTGCTATAACGCTGCACAGTGCTGTTGGGCAGACTCTTATTGCGCAGGTTTTTAATGTCCTCTCTGGCTTCATGGAGCATGTCCTCACTTTCCGAGTACCTCTCCTGAAGTTCCTTCAGCTGACACCAGAGGGAGACAGAACATAATAAATCGACACAAAAGCCACTTCTTGAAAACAATAAATGACAGCAGCAGAATGCTGGGTGAACATTGTGATATTGATATTGTGAGGATTATACCTCTGTTTTAACCTGCGCCTGGGATTCCCGGGAGGCATTCAGATGTTGCGTTAACTCCTCATTCTCAGCAGTGAGCTGAATTTGGAAGTAAATTTGATTTATTTATTTATATAAATGTATTCTCTAAATGGTGTGAAAGATTAAATAGAGTTTGCGTGTCTAACCCCTTTGCAGCGCTGCTCCAGGTCGACAATCTGTCCCAGCAGGGCACTAATCTCCTCTTGTTGTCTTAGCGAATCTTCCACCTTCCGGGCCAACTCATCTGACAGAGATACGGCCCGCTTATTCGCTGTCGCTGGTGAGAGACGGAAGAAGAGGAAACTTTAGTTTGTTAACTTATTTGAGATACCGAACGATGAGATGGTCATTGTGGGTTATTTACTCACTGAGTTCATCCACACACACCATCATAAGCCGTTGCTCTTGTTCCTCGTAACTGTTGGTCTCAAATGTTAACTCATTAGCCTAAAAAAAAAAAGTGTAACGGGTGTGAAAACATGGATCTAATTGTAGCACAACTTTGATATTTTCTTTGGTGAATGTATGTACGGTAATACGCGTTAAAACACACCTCTGTGCGCAATTTGAAGTTCTCCTCTTCCAAACCCTTGAGTTTCTGTTGCAGAAAGTCGTAATTGACGTAATTGCTGAGAGATGTGGACGAATCATTCCGTATAAGCCTGAAGAAGGACACACTTATCAGAATGAAGTCATTGATCACTCTGTCTCTGTCTCTCTGTGTGTGTGTGTGTGTGTTTGACTCACAGTGTTTCTGAGGCATGCTCTATATCTTCAGTGCTGGCATAAAAGTGCAGGAGATCGTCTCTCATGGAGAGCTCATGACGCAGCTGAGAAATCTATAAGAACAGACCCAGAATCAGTGTTAAATTCCATGTACATTCCATGTACCACAAAACACTAAGTGCATTGTATCTATTATATCATTCCTAAATTAGGAAGTACTTTGTTAAACTAAAAGCAGTGTACTGCACAAATACTGATAATATATACATTTTTTAATGAAAATAAAATTGTTTCCTTTAAACAGTTATATTACTATTATTTTGTCTAAAGCAGCATTTTAATATATATAAATATATATATAAAATGCTGCTTTAGACAAAATAATACAAATACTAATAACTGTTTAAAAGAATATTTTGTATTTTCATTAAAAAATATTATCGGTATTTGTGCACTCTCACTTCATTTAAAACCTTATTGTATTTATTCTTTCATTTGACCAAAAACTATTTTTTTAAGAATTTTGAACACAGCTCTTGCCAGACCTGTAAAGTTCTAAAAAAGACCCCAAAAAATATATAAAAACACCATAAATGTGTCATAAAATGATGATTAGCAAATTATATATAGTCACACTATATTATGCTTGGCACACATAAGTACGGAAAAAAAATTCTTCAAAAAAATTACACTTTTGTTACACAGATACCACAAGCTTACATATTTGGGGGCAATGGGTAAGTAATGAAAGATTGACATTTTTGTGTGCAATACTCCTTTTAAAACAAGTTGAAAAAAAATTTTTTTTAGCAATAATAACCTCTTCCTGAGCAATTTCCAGCTGTTCGTCCAGTAGTTTGTTGCGTTCAGTCAAGGCTTTATTCTGCTTGAGCAGCGATTGGCCAATCCGGGCTGCCAATTCCAGATCCCGCTCTTTCTGCGGATGAAGACAAGCATGTGCGGGACTTTTATTATGTCATCACGGAAGCACTACAGTGGTATAATTTACACCAACTATTGTGATTTATGAAGCAAACCATGTTGTCTCTCTCACCTCCTCAAGCAGATGTGTAACTGCCTCAATGTCATGATACGTCTTTGTGATTTGACCAACTCTCTCTGAACACAGCACTGCAGAGGAAAAAAAGAAAGAGAGAAAGAGACATAGGGTTGGCTGATGGGCTCATGATAATTGATCAGAAACAATGTAATAAAGATGATAGATTTCAGAATAATGTCAGAAAACACCTCTGATGTTCAAATGGATCAAACACTGCTTATAAATGTGTGATCTATGCGGAACTGCATTACACAGAGTCAATGTGACCCAACCTCGACGGGACAGGTAACAGAGACGTCTAGGCAGTCAAGAACAAGAGCCTCTTAGCCTGATCCTCATTAAGGATTCATTTTCGTTTTCATCTCTACTTATAAATCTACTGATCGGGCCTGTGTTACAAACATCTTTCCAGACCAGTGGTTCCCCACTAGGCATACTTTTTCAAGGGATATAAATAATAAAATATATATATATTAAAATATCTTACAGAATTTTTTATTGTAAAACACAATGAACATTTCAAATATAATATAATTCTTTATAAATACATATATAAATATAACAAATATTAAAATATAAATATTACATATTTATTTAATATTACAATCTAATATTTTTTTAGTTTTTTAAAGGAAAGTAAACCAGCAAGATGTATATATTTGCTAAAAGATATTCAGTATAAAATGAGTTAAAAGGAACAGAATAGCTATGTTTCCATCCAAAATTGCGAATTTAACTTGTGCTCAAAATTGGAATATCGCATAAGACATTTGCGAATAGTTTTTATCCCATGTGTTCAAGAGAACAAAATCGTCACTTCCTGGGACATTGGCGCAAAATATCTGTAATGAAAAATGGAAGTGGATGCAATCAGGAAGCCACTGTTTTTTGTTTGTTTTTTCACAAATTTTGCGCATCTTGGCGTATCCATCCATCAGTTTTTTTATGTGATGTCCCAAAATGCACATAAAAATAGGTGGATGGAAACATAGCTAATGGTACTTGATGTAACTGTCAGGATACACATGTCAAAAAAGGTTGGGAAACACTTCCCCACATGAGTCACATTCCCTGGACACAGATCCAACGCAGGATTTTTGGGGTTGCTGCTCTTAAATATGGACACTGGTTACTTTTTTTTTTTTTTTTTTTTTTTTTAAGTAATAAATCTGTGCAAAGCACTACCATAAGTGCAATATATTTTTCTGCTTTCTTTCCAGAAAGGTATTTTCACTTGGTTGGGTCTTGTTTTTCCTTGAGGCATAATCAAATTTCAACTGGAATGAGACGTGTTTGACTTTGCTAAAATAGGAGCTTGGCAGCGGTTCCCGGCTCTGCAAACGACGACTTGGCTCAGAAGAGTCCACATTAATAAAGCTTTAACCTTCTACACCAGGGACAGTGAAAAGCACTGCAGAAACTGTGTGATAGCAAGTCAAATAACAAAATCTGTTCTGGCTTGCAGCGGATAGTGTTGCAGACAACAGGGAAAACCAAGCTAAATGTAAAAATTAAATGCAATTGACCACATCAATGAACAGAGTTTGGAAAGCAAATCAAATAACCTTTGAAAAATCTTTTGTTTTTTGACTATGCATCTAATGAAAGCCTAGTGTTTTGAAAATGTAACAAAAGGAAAATATTAAATAAATGAAAATACAACTTTGACTTAATGTGCTTACTTGGAATGACAATAATCATGATTTGTGCAATCACAATGTGTTTTGGATGGCAATAGCATGAAACCACTGGAAGTCAAGACATTTAGAAACTTAAACTAACAATTTTTGTTTATGCGATGAACAATTTTCGTTCATAAGCAGTTCAGCGGCAGAGCGCATGTAATGATTATTGTCAGCATGTGTCCTTTCATTCAGTCCTCCACAAGCTCTGGCCAGTGACGGAGCCGCTGCTAAATCTGCTCACCTGGCCTAAAAAGGGGTTCAGGTCTGCTGTGATTTACGTCACTGACAGAATTAAGAACATTAAGGACAGTAAGACAGTAGTCTGTACTATGTGACACTGGACTGAGCTTCTGTGGCTGGACAGATTAAAGTGATTTAGCCCTTGTGAAATGACAGCAATGGACCCAACATCTTTCAAAGTATAAATCAGGAAATTGTGATTAAATGTTTTGCTATGATTAAAACAAAGACTTATACAGAAGAGATACAGAAATCAGAGTTCTGTAAATGGGATGCACAATTTTTTAGGAATAACTGACCTTGACAAAAAAAAATATATTCAGAGACCTCAAATGTCTTTAAAACACACATTTTAAAGTGCAAGTTGCATAATGTAAAAAAAAGTTGGTAGCACACATAAAACAATTTATCTGCAAGCCAATTTATCCATCTACACTTATAGTGTAGAGATGCATATCAACGAGGTCAAAACTCCATAACCTTGTGTGTCCATCACTATGAAAAACAAGACAATATCACACAAGGACAAAGACACTGTAACCACATATTTGAGGTGAAACAACACTGAGATCTTCAGAGAAGCGCAAACAAAATCTTCTGCAGATGATAATGAGGATTTATTGACATGCTGTGCATGTTGATCAATACCATCTTCAGCAAATAAAGACCTTCACGATTCACATGGTGATGACTGATGTCTCCCACTATTTGTCTCCTTATCTTTCTCTGTTACCTTGTACCAGCTCCCTGCACAGTCCTTTAGTGTCGGGTTCCTCTTCGTCCTCTGGTTCTTCATCGTCTTCATCATGGCTTGTGCTGCTGTCTCTCTCGCTCTCATCCATTCCCGAACTGCTCCACACCTCAATTTCTGCACTCATCCTTTGATATGATCTGTCTCCTCTGCAATGCGGTCTGTCTCTCTCTCTCTCTCTCTCTCCACAGTCTGCGCCAGGCTGATTTATGACTCGTTAAACAATCCGTCTGTGTTTCTTGCGAGTCACCACGGCTGTCCCCTTGGCTTTCTGCTCACTAATGCACCTCTACGCATGCTGATGTTGTTATTGAATCTGCTGTGAGTGTGTGTCCCTGCAGCTCATGCCTGATGGCAGCTCAGACTCACCTGGCTGCTCTGAGCCACAGGAGGACATCAACTCTGAGAGGAGGGGAGGACGGCTGGCGGAAACTTAGAGGAGTACATGAAAGACCAGAGGATTTGTGCATGTTTTTGCAGGCATTTGGAGTCTTGGAGTATTGCATCATGTGTATTTGTGAGAGATTTTTGCAGATTTGATTTGAAACAGCTTGTGTTATTGTACAGATGGAACACCCTCCCCCGTTCAAACACAATATGGTACCTTCCAGATTAATGCCATAATACTGCAGCACAACAGACGGACACTGCCACACTCACAGGACACATCAGTGCTGTTATTGTTAACTAAAACTAAAACTATTCAAAATATTACGTTTTTGGTAATTGAAATAAAGCTGAAATAAAATAAAATATAAATATTAGATGAAAAACCTTAAAGACCCACTCCGATGAAAATAATGTTTTTCTAGGTGTTAACATGTTCTTGTGACATTTTTCTTATGTTAGAGGACAAATCTTGAGAAAAATAAGCTCAAAGTTGTATTTCTGAGTATTTCTACATTCAAATGGCTGTGAATCAGTAGCAGACGCTAAAATGCCATTTAAAATAGACTGGAGTTGTGACGTAGTAACTCCACTGGGCGGGGCCACAAGCTTGTTAAAATGAATCGAAAGTGCCCCTCTCAAACAAATATCAATGATAATATTGTTTTCAATAAAAAAAAATGCATTTGATTATAATTAACATGACAATGTGACAAAATTCACATTTACTTGTATGTTTCTGTTAGTTTGAGCTGTCGTTGCCATGACTTGTTGCTATGGGTTGCGTCACTTGCGTGTCTTGCATCGGACTCGACTGAAGGGGTCAGTCTCCATTTTCGAGGCCGAGGGTCAGTAATGTGGACGGCAGGAGCGCATAATCGTTGCAAAAGTTGTGCGTTTTAAAACGAAAACGCACTGTACGGCTGGATAGCTCCAATATTGCTCTCAATTTTTGTTGCACCGGTAATGACAGGTTGGGGGTGTAAGCTAGCGGGAGAGACAGAGCTCTCAGCAACGGGGAGGGGGAGGGTCATCTCCGTGCCAACGGCTCCGCCCACAACGCAGAGGCGAATTGCTAATGAGCTACTGCCGCTCTGCTGAAGCAAAGTCCCAGAAAACGCCACAGGTTTTGTGAGTTTGGCTAAAAATGGCACAATCATAATTTAAAGACCACTGGGAATGTTTACAAATAGCTCAAAATATGATTGGAGTGGGACTTTAAACAAAAATGAGAAATGTTGCCTTCACAATAAAGTTGAAGAAAACTTGTTCCAAATCTGTATGAGTTTCTTTCTTATGTTGAACACAAAAGAAGATATTTTGAAGAATGTCGTAACCAGAAAGTTGACGATAGCCATTGACTTCCATAGTAGGAAAAAAAATACTATGGAAGTCAATGGGGTACATCAACTGTCTGGTTACGATATTCTTCAAAATATCTTATTTTGTGTTCAGCAGAAGAAATAAACTCATACAGATTTGGAACAACATGAGGGTGAGTAAATGATGACAACATTTTTGGGTGAACAATCCCTTTAAGCTCTGTAGAAATATTTTAAAATAATAATAAAAAATAACAAAAGCACATACAAATTAAAACTAAAAATACAAAAATAAAAGTTTTAAATGTAAAAATTAAAAATATTAATAAACACTATACGGTAATAGTATATAAATAATATTAAAATGACACAGCATTTCCAGCAGGAGTGTGTGTATGCAGCTAAAACTACAGCGATCTGAATCTTAGAGTCAAATGTTTTTAGTCAATGAGTCCAAAAGAATCCATCTAGCATTCAAGCTGTCAATCCCTCCGCCCCCAAAGTCATACCGGTACCACTGTTGAATGCCAAATGACAGTGGCGATGTGAAAACGTGGTATCGAATTCAACACTGTATATCTTTCACCTTTACTCTTTCTCTTTCAGACATGTTAAAATAATCTGGGCCAAAATTGCTTTCTAGACAAATTCTGAAGGGCTCTATCAAATATTAAACTACACCAGTAGCCATGTTTCCATCCACTTGACAATCGAATTATCTGAAGTTCGGTAAAAAACCTCATGTGAATGAAGCTGGTGAAAGTGTGTTTCCATCAAACGGCTTTAAAGCGGATAAAAACCTGTGCGTAATGACGTCACATGCTGTTTTGCGATCATCAAATTGCTATATCGAATTGATTTGAGACATGTTAAGGTGTTTCCATTCATTTTCTCACCGAATTGCACAACATTCAAGCCAACATTTGCGAACAAAATTTTACTAGGCAAAATGGATTGCACCATAATAACGTTTCCATCCGCGTTTATCGCATAAGCCGTGTATCGATCAAGATAAAATCCGATGAGACCGATCGTATTTCATTTGAGTCGATATTCATGAAATTCAATCGAATTTTACTGTTTCCATAAGGCATTTTTCATTCGATATCACTTTGCGGATAAAAACGTGTGGATGGAAACATAGCTAGTGTCAATTTTTCATTGTGGTCAGTGGATTGCAGGTCACACCATCACCACATGGCATGATGCACTTAAAATCTGACCAACAAAACACTGGGAGTGTTTACCAGTGAGAGTTCAAAAAGACAACACATTGTGAGGAAACTTCACCAAGATCACCACAATGGGAAGAAATAACCATTTCCTATTTGTGCTATATCTACCACATGTTCATTTATAATTAATCAACCTGGTGCAACTAAACACGCAACAGTTTCAAGACCGGACAAAAGCAAACAGATTCTAATTTAAGTAATAGACCTATAACCGAATCAATTTTGCTTAGGGTGATGATGGCAGAAATAAGAAATATGAAAAATAAATAACTACGTCCTAAGTCAAATTGTATCCGATGTTAGTGAAACAAACTTGATAACACAAATATACATTTTCTAATTTTACATCACATTTGTCTGAGGATGGCTTTCTAGCTCAGAATGAAATGCAAGTGTCTAAGGTTACTCATTTATGCCAAACCAATCATTTACAGTACCATAAATATCCCTAATCTGCCTTCAGTGAAATGATAACCATAGCACAAACAAATACAAATAGGCAAATACAGTGAAACAAGAAAGACTATAAATAACAAAACTGAAATCTCTACTAGAATACAGGCTTGAAGTGAACGTGTTTAGATAATTAGGCTAGAAATAACAGCTGTGTTTGGGCTGCAGCCCACGTGAAGAGATCAGTGCACTGCAGGCAGGTATGAGAACACGTTTCCATGCCAAACGGATTAGAGCTAAATTAGCAGCAAGTCCATCAGAGCAATCTGTTTCCTTTTCCATCATTTTAAATCGGCAAAATAAACATTACACTGTAAAAAAAAAAAAAAAAATTGCTGCCTTCAATTTTTAAGTACAATCAACTTAGATGTTTAAGTCATTTCAACTTACATTAAACTGACTTAAAAAAATTAGTTGAATCTAAAATGTTTACTTAACTTATTTTGATGAGTTAAAGCAATGTAAAAACATATGTAAAAACTTATTGATCATGTCATTTTTTATAGTGTACAATTCAAAACTTTGGGGTCGGTAAGATTTAGACTCTTCTGCTCGTCAAGGGCCAGTATTTATTTGATAAAAAATACGGGAACAATTTTGTTAAATATTATTATTATTTAAAATAACTTTTTTTCTATTTTAATATGTTTTACAATGTAATTTATTCCTGTGATGCAAAGCTGAATTTTCAGCATCATTACTCCAGTCTTCAGAGTCACGTGATCATTCACAAAATCATTTTAGTATGATGATTTGGTGCTCAACAAACTTTTTTTTTTTATTATCAGTGTTGGAAACTGACACCTTTTTTTTTCAGGATTCTTGGATGAATAGAAAGTTCAAAAGAACCAATTATTTGAAATAGCAATCGATTCAATTAAATGCAATTTATTTGCCTAGCTCCCAATACATAATGTTTCTTTTGTAACACTATAACGTCTTTACTGTCACTTTTGATCAATTGAATGTGGCCTTGCTAAATAAAAGTATTAATTTCTTTATAACGTATTCATTTCATAAATAAATAAAAAAAACTGATCCCAAACTTTAGAACGGTAGTGTATATCTGAGTCCAGCAGGTATTTGTGGTCAATCACAGATAGTTTTATGATGCTACAAAATTTATTTAATGAATGTACTGTATATCACAACCATGAAACAAACTAATGATTTTTTTTCAATCCCGTTAAATCTCAAAGAATGCCTGTCTGAGAATCCAAAACTTTAGTTTAGCCTAATGTGAGCAGCAGATAGAAACTGCAGTGCTGGTGTAACGTCAGGGCGCCTGACAAGTTTGCCAGGTCGTAGAGAGAGAAGCCCCTGAGAACAGCAGAATGTCTCATTATCCTTAAGTAGTAAGGAGCTAATCCTCTTGATGGCATTTGCATCTGTGCTCCAAGAGGAAGGGATGTGGCTGGGATTACAGTATTGCTTTGGCAGGGTCAACAGTGGCACTAGAGCCTGTAATTGGTACAGTGAGCTGACGTACTGCCATACATTGTAATAAATCATTTAAGATATTATAAAGACAACATGTTGTTTCCCAAATAAAATAACTATCTTTCATTTGTCATTGCAGTACAGCCAAAATTCATGACTGAAATCATCAATTGTGGTGACATACATGAGGCGAGTAAATGATGATGACATTTTATTTTGGGCCGAACTATTTCTTATTCCCTGTTTTCTTTTCACTCCCAAGTTTTCTTAAAAACTTTATAAGTGGTTGGATTTACCAGAAATGGAAAAGAAGTAGGCAGTGCCAAAGTACGCAAGTTGCGAAGGGCTCCCGAACCACCAGAATTTTGATTCTGAATTCTAATGATTATGAAAACATGATGCCGCATTCCATTCCTTTCCTTTAAAGCGGGACGCTGACGCCCTTCCTAGTACATAACATCAAAATCAGTCAAATCATGTACTGCAACATGACTTTCATAATATACAGTCTCCTGCCAGACGTGCGCAATACTAAAAAAAGTCAAGTTAAAGCATTTTGAGCTGCGAAAGAAATGCTGTTCCATAGGTGGCGAGATGGAGCAAAACTTCTTTGGGCTTTGGGTGTTTGCTTAAATGACAAATACACACAAAAAAGTCTTGGAGAGTTTTCACTTTAAAAAAGCCAGTTATGATTACTTTTTTAAATTTCTGTATAGGCTTTTATTAGTAGTAGGCCAAATTGTTAAATTTCATTTGTATGTTTTTTTCAATTTTATTTATCCTATTGTTTATCATTTTATTTTTTATAGTTTTATTACTAATGTTTAAACTTACTGTGCGTTTGTTGACAGTGAAACTGCTCTGAAAGAACAGATTAAGGGGTCAGGGGTCATTTGGGGGGTTTTATGAACGCATTGACAGTTCCAGAAGTCTAGAACTAGCACTGGCAGTTGGCTATATTATGGGAGAAAGGTGTGGACTCACAGAAGTACTTGAGTGTCTCATCGATCTGCTCATGTGTAAGTCCAAGAGCGGCCTCTGGTGGCAGCAGAGGTGTGTGCAGCCAGTCGTCATGCTCGTACCCATACACGTGGTCTGCCCGCAGAGTGTATTTGGGCAGTTCTTCTGTAAGCAAGCTGACGATCTCCACCTCTGGCAGATCCACACTGGAGCACAGATCTGTGTGATGAACAGAAAGACAACCATTTACTTCCACAACTCTGAATGTTCATTTAATAACTAAGTTAATCTGAAAATATCGAATTAGTTATTTAAGGTAAATGTACGTTACATCATTTAGAAGATTGTATTCATTGATGGAATAAAAAAATAGGCTACAGATTGAGAAGTTAAATTAAAATTACAGTGTGGACATGAAAACATCTGAGCTGCAACAGAGGCCAAAACAACTCCAGCATGATGTGCTGTCTTTCCAAGTCAAAAAAAGCAAGAGTTATATATTATTAGTCAATCAAAAATATTAGGTCTACATTACTCATAGCGGCTTACATATGCAGTGTTGGGGAGTAGTTAACTACAAGTAGCGACGCTACTAACTTAACTACATTTTTCAGTAGCTTAGCAGTAGCTCAGTTGCTTTTTAAACAGTGTAGCTTTTCCAGTAGCTAACTACTTTTTGCAGCAAGTAGCGGTGTAGCGCGAGCAAAAGCAACATTGTGTTTTGTTGAGCCTGCGCGAATCAGCCAGGAATCAGCGCGATGCAAGGATATTCTTCTTCTTGTTAGATTACAAACTAATTTGTTTTGCCATTACCGCCACCTGTTGTTTATTCACGCATCTTGCGGCTAACGGTTCACTGACGTACAGAAGACCTCAAGCTCAAATTTAAGGACGCACATACAGGTGATTAATGGCCATTTTAAAATGTATTAATTATCCTGCTTTATTGCTCTCTATGTTACATCAAACTTCTATTTCTGATTTAATTACAATGAACCGCCATGATCTGTCCGCGTTTGGCAATGAACATAAAAGACCACTAAACTAAAGTTTGCGCCATCGTGTTTCAGTTGAACAAAAAATGTAATCTTAGTTTGTTTATCGCACGACAAAGGCTTTGATCTAATTAAATTGGTGTATAGATGTGATGTGACTGGATCCAGAGCGAACCGAACTGTGCTCACAAGCAGCTTGTGATTCAGGTTCTTCTTTCACAGTAAATTCTGCGAGCTCCATCACTGCATGTGAGCGAGTTTAACGTGCATTGTCAGTGCCACATGTGAGCGGTTGTTCAATGTATTTTCTTGCCAAAATGCAACCATCTCACAGTCACAATCGGTATTTTTGAGAAAAAGTCTATACATGCAATTTACGTTGGATGTATATTTTGTTCTTGCAATGTTGTATTTGTTGCAATTTTGCACTTTTGACAAACAGTCTGAGATATTTGAGTGTTGTGTGTAATAAAACAATAAAAATCATAATTGTATTGCATTGTTTTAAACACTAAATATTTTACTTAAAACATTTCTCAGACACTTATTCAGTTATTTATAATATATATGTTGTTCAAAAAAAGCAAAAGTAGTTTCAATGTAGCTAGCTACTTTTTGATCGTAACTTGTAGTGTAGCTAACTACTTTTCCAAAAGGGTAGCTTGACTGTAGTTTAACTACTTTAACTAACGAGTAGCTTGTAGCTTGTCAAACTACAGTTTCAAAGTAGCTTCCCCAACACTGTACATATGACATATGAAACATATGGCTGAGATGTTTCAATCAAGAAGATGATTTAAAAATCATATGTGAGTGTTAACAGCTATTATAAAGCTACAGCAAACACTCTTGAGCTTTCAGAATGGTCCATAATTAGAAAGCAGCACACATAGGTACTTCCTTAGTCACTATGGTTTGTACCACCTTTCCTGCCTTTGTCGGCATTTTTCCTGCCTTTGTCTGATTTGATGCTCACGATTTCTTATCATTATCAACATTGAAAAGTTAAACGTTGTGCTGCTTAATTTTCTTTTTTTTCCATGATTCTTTAATGTAAAGAAAGTACAAAAGAACATCATTTGTTTGAAATAGAAATGTTTTGTAACATTATAAATAGCTTTTGATCAATTTCATGGGTCCTTGCTGAATAAAAGTATTGTTCCCCAAACACTTAAACGGTAGTGTATCTGCTAAACGTACATTAGCATATAGTTGGCACTACAGCAAACAGATGCAACCTGGGAACAATCGCACACCAACAAAACCCCTTCCTGTACCTGTGAGAGTTGAGACATCATGGAAGCCTTGTGCTGGCAGTGGGTCCTCCCTCAAGTTCCCAGGAGTGAGGCCGATCTCCTGGGCGAGGGTCCCGCATCCCTCTCCCTGCTCTCCATGGAGGGCGAGGGGCCCTGTGGGCTCCAGGGAGGGCTGAGGGGGCCGCCCAGAAGAAGAACAGTGAGACAGTGTGACAGGCCTGCTGGGGTTCAGGGTGCTTGAGGCCTTCAACAGACTGTTGTGCTGCCTCTCCTGGATCAGAGAATGGGTGTGGAAGCACACGTCCTCATGTGACCTGGTGGAGACAGACAGAAAGAGAGATATGTACACTCATATTAACAAACTGATTATAAGAAAAGAGCTTTTTGTGTATTAAAGACTCCCCCATCAGTATCTAGTTAAATGAAAAAGGCGTATGAAAACAATGATGCTCAGGGCACAGATCATGTTCATTGAAAGCAGGCCATTGATTGTATTGTGCTACTGATGTGAAACTTGATAGGCCCTCGCGTAACCACAGCAGTGTTACTTTCAGCTTGATATCTTCCAGTGAAAATGTCTATCAGATCCAATATCAAATGACATGACACTTATAAATAATTCAGCTGGTGGCATATAAAGTCATTCATGACTTTTTTGAGTCATGATATTCTGAAACAAATACCCTGTGGTAAGAATATATCACATGTTTAACCAGGAATTTTAGTAAAGGGTGTGTTATGACAATGCTAAAATATGATTGAACCAATAACACTCCTCCAACAGAGTTAAGCTCTGCCTTCTTTGTTACTGTTTTATCAGACAAGCTTTACATGACATCCAATAGGAATGTAGGAATGAATTGGAGATATTTGTGAACAGTGAACAGATTTTTAGCAAAATGTACTCATAAATGGTTAAATTGGATATTATCCAAACATATAATGATTTTTTATTTAATTGTGCAATAAGCCAAGCATTTTTATCTACCACTATTCTGCAAAGAAATTAAGTAACACAAAAACATGATACAAAAAAATTATGAATCAGATCTGAACAAACACTTCTATCAATTAATGAAAACAGAGAAGCCTCATTTAAAAATGCTTCAGAACAGCATTCTAACATACTACTGTATGCTGTACACATGCATTTATTATATATTATGCACACTATACACAGTAATTATGCACATTTTATATGCATAGAAAACCCAGATGACCCACAGTAAAACTGCAGAATTGTGCACATTGCGCACTCTACACAATGCTGTATCCCGCAAAGCAACCAGTGCAACAAATGTTGACTCCAGAAATGTAAGATATTTAACACAAAACTGAATATGCTTACCAAAGCAACATTATTTGATCTAAAATACAGTAAAAACAGTTTTTACTCCATTACTCCAGTCTTCAGTCACATGATCCTTCAGAAATAATTCAAATATGCTGAATTGATCCTCAAGAAACATTTATTATTGTCAATTACAATTATTATTATTATTATTATCAATGTTGAGAAGTGTGGTGCTTATTTTTTCCTCCACGATTCTTTAATATATAGAAAGTTCAAAAGAACAGAATTGATCTGAAATAGAAATGTTTTGTAACATTATAAAATGGCTTTACTGTCGTCTTGATCAATTTCATGGCTCATTGCTGAATAAAAGTATTCAATGAGATTTTTAAGAGATACAAGAACAACAATTATAATACCGCTTATAAGCTCTCTAGGTATCTTGTGTCAACATTATAAATGCCTTTGTTTTTGTATAATTTATGTAAATTCCCTATAAAACTGTCCAAACACATAGACTTGCAATAAAAAAGCAAAACTTGTCTAAAAATATGGCTACAGTTGGTAGGATTGGTCAGTAGCGGTTTTAAGGCGGGGCTTAGTGTAAATTCAATAGAGTGCTGCATGAATGACGTATTTTTGAAGGCTAAAACCATTTACCATTTTAGTACTTCCAGTTCTATCATCCTGAAGTCAATGGGTTTTTTTAATGCGTTTTAGGTTAAATTCCTGTAATGAGGTCTGTGGTTAACACAAGCTCAAGATATTTTCACATTTTATTCTACGACACAAAATACATCATCCCCTGTAGCCTGTTGCTAACAAGTGGCTAAATGGGTAAATAGATAAACTCAACTATTGCCAGTTCACTTTCACAGCCTCGTTGTTAGAATTGCACTCTTCCAAACTATTCTAACTCAAACTTTCAGAGAAAATATTCAGCATGGTGTAGTTTGTTTAAAGTCCACATTTAGCTTTTTACTTCTGGCAATTGTATTTAGACCTCAATATTCATAAAAGTTGTGTTGATTTGTGAAGCTTATCGTCATGAACAAAACATGTAAGAATGATAAACAGAGTAACTGAGCTTATTTTCTGCAATAACCCAAAATCCAATGGAAAATCCTATAGGATTTTTATCAAGGGGAACCAGGCTTGGCCTACAAAAATACATCATCACTTCAGCGCTCTATACAAACTTTGCATTCCAAAACAAATTTGAACACTATATTGTTGATTTTTAAATATTGACCAAGGTTTTAAGTCACTCTCACTTTTAGCCAGAGATTACGGACAACCTCAAGGTGACTGTACACAAAACCGGACTCACTGCCAACCAAACTCCTGCTGGAGGTGCCTACGTGTGTCCTTTCACATAGTCTCTAGGGCTCTCTTCTCAGAGAAAGAGGGAGGCCAAAAGAGAGAGAGCGTGATAAAACCAGAGAAAGTGGGAGAGGCAGAGAGAGGAGGAACAAAGAAAGTCTTTTTTTCAGCCTATCAGAACGGACACACTTGAATTACGGCTTAAGTTAGGGGGAGGGGCATGTTCAATGTTCAGAAAGCATGTGTTTGGCTGAAAGCAGCGTGCACTCTGAACCGACCGTTTCCTAGGAGACCTGAGGACTGTGAACGTGCGGCTTGGTCACATGATGCATCTGTCAGAGGGCTTTTATGGGCAATTAAGGGCTCATGCAAACACGTACACAAGGACGTCTATTTGCAAGTATACAGTGTTCCTTTTCCACCGAACACCAATTTTACAACATTGCCAAAGTTTGTTCATATGTGTCCCTACAGTCTTACTCTTAATAATCTAGTATAAATCACATTGTAAACAACACAAACACATTATTGTAATTCCCTAAGTCACAAAGAATTAGTCCTGAGATAAACAATTATTACAAGGAAAATCACTATTTAACCCTCTGGGGTCCTTCGGCCCAAATGGACCCGAAGCATTTAAATATTTATTTATTTTTAAATCATTGCTTTATCGGAATGGTCCGAAATTTGGTGACTTTGTTGGTACTTGGCATATGAACACCCCAAAAAATTGGGGACAGGATTTGAATAGTCTAAGTGGTTGTAAAAAAAATAGTCACACTCAGGACCTTCGGGTCCAAATGGACCCGCATAGGAAATGAATGGGAAATTGGCAAAAATGTGAAAATACAGAGTTATTTTGTGCGTACAAACTACAAATCAGCCACGATCCAGAAAAAAAGCACACAACAGTGAAGGGGTGAATCTATAAAACATCAAGAGTGCAAAACAGACACATCCACACACACACACACAAACACACTTTTATACACATACACACTAATAAATTCAGATTACATATGGGTTTTGAATTTTTAAAATGCTCAGTTTGTCCACCAGATGGCATCCATCTCATTTCAAAAATTGCTTTCATGAGGCCTAGGCTTGACTCTAAGGGTGCTTTCACACCTGTAGTTCGGTTCATTTGGTCCGGACTAAGGGCGAAAAATGATACTTTGTATCATTTTCAGGCGTTTTGGTTCCTTTTCAGACCACACTGATTGCTCTGGTCCGAATCAGATGATGAGTTGATGAAACGAACCAAAATGCAGTCACGTGACAACATCCACATCACTCGTTGGCCAGAGGTAACTGCACTTCGATTGGTCAGAATCAACGTGCGGGAAAATTCCAGAGCTCCCGGAAGTAAACAAAGAGGAGGAAAATCCGGCAGACAGCGTTTGACTATGGAGAGTCTACGACTGCGTGGGCTGATAGTATCCCTGGTCATAGTATATTACTTTAGGCAAACAATTACATTTCATAATGAATCGAGGATGCGGCTTGAACAAAATGTTTTAATGCACTGCACGCGGCGAAGTCGCACCTCCTCAGAACTCCACGTTTGTCCGCGAGCTGCATGCTAGTGCAAAATGTCAACAAACATTATTCCTCATCCCATAAAACACAGCGCGGCTGACTACGGCAGCTGGTTTAGTCCAAAAATACGCAGTTCTCTGACAGTTGGGTCTGTTCGAGTTCGGATCACGTTCTCACCACAAACGAACCGCTCCAGAGTTCGTTTGAAAGCGTACCGAGACCACCTCTTCGAGGAGGTCTCGGTACGCTTGTTTGGTCCGCTTTTGGTGCGCACCCGAGTGCGATTGCTGCTTTCACACCTACCCAAACGAACCGCACCAATTCGGAAAACGAACTCTAGTGCGATTCAACCGAACTAAACAAGGCAGGTGTGAAAGCACCCTAAAATGAAATACAGGTTTAAAAAAATTTTAAAAAAAATAAAAATATTTTTTTTAAATTTCTATTATATTCAATGGGGAAAAAATGGGTCATAATTATTGCATTAATATTAATTATAAATCATTTTTATTTTTGAAATTATCTCAAAACACCAAAAAAGAAAAGAAAAAATATTCTAAAAAACAAGTAAAAAAAAAAAAGATGATTTTTTTTTAATAAATATTAATCCCACCCTTCCGGCCCATTTGGACCCGAAGGTCCTGAGTGTGACTCTGAAATGAAGGACCCCAGAGGGTTAAAAATTGAGCTCAATCCACTTTTCTTTGCTACAGGACACACTTTAACTGTAACTTTCCATACAACATTTATTTCCATCAAAATAAGTGCTAAGCAAAAATCAAACAACTTCCTACAAACTGCTCAATGATAATCAGCCATTTGAGGAATATACATGCAGTTCAAAGGGAAAATCGTAATTTGAACAGTTTTCCCTGATAAACCCTGTCAAGGTTAATGCTAGTGTCCTATTCTCTCTCACCTTGATCAAATATATTAGTTGAACAATATAGTTTTTAAATGACCAATGCCAATGCCGAAATATCGGGGTGGCAGAAACTTAATATAATGCCAGTATTAAAATAATGCAACTTAATTATAGAAAATGAGGCAGACATTTAAAGACCTTTAAAACAATACAAAAATGAAATCAAGTAACATATACAGTATATAAAAAATATATAATAATATCTTCTCTTGTCCCAGTATTATTAGTGCCTT